AACCTACTTGGGCATTCATGTCCTCTGCAACACCAACGTTATCTGCTCTGGCGACATTGCAAAGCAGCGTTTTCAGTTCGTGGTAGAATGTACCCTTGGCAGCATCAGAATTACAGTCACTTGGGACATAAGCGGAAACCACAAATAATCTACTTTAGCTGATGTCGTCAAACGCGCTGCTCACAAACGGTTGCTCACGGGAATTCAATCAACCAACCATGACAGCTTTGGAGGTGACCATGAAGTCCACCTTGGATTGGCAATTGGTTACCGCATCAGTGTCTCCGGGTGTGTGCTAGCTGTAGAGAGAGGACAAGCCGGGCGCAGTTAGGACAACAATCACGTGAAGGTCATTGATCCTACTTTCGGACACGCAACGAACCTTAACAGCCAGTGTCTAATTTTCAAAATCAAAGTCCAGTCCAAGTAGGCTTTTTGCACCCGGGTGTGTGCATTTTCAGCATGTTACACTATCACTGCGGATGGTGATGTATATGAAATTACTGTTGCAGAAAGAATAAAATGCGTAAAAATGTCTACACTTATCACTTGAGCAAATATTTTCGCATCATCCTGATAGTTTTGGTTCGATCAACAACCAAGTGGGACAGGCACGGTGGCACAGAACTGCGATAAGATGCAGTACGTGAAAACAAAATCTTGAATTTGCAGCGGGTAAAGAAAATAGATAATGTTTTTGATAAGTCTACTAATAATGTGTCAACTGTACGCCGTAACGGCGCTTCGCTGCCGCGTGACCACCACCAGTCGCGCGCGGGCTGAATATACTGCGAAGACGCCCACCCCCACGCGGATTCGTACTGGTGACCTTATGGTTGCAAACCAAACGCGCAGGCCACTCGGCCGCCGGCCGATAGGTCACATTGTAGTGCATGAAGAGGATCGTTTCGAATTTAGAGGAAAATTGATACAAGCTTCTAAGTGCTGGTTGACAACAATACCCATAAGGGACACTCTAGACAATACGCTGCATCTGCAAATAAACCTTACGGACCCTAAAGTCAATGTATAGTGCTTTTGGTGTAACCTAGGGAAGATTACACAAGAAAGGTATCAGGTGCAGTTACAAGTCGCAGTCACAAATCTAAGAATCAAATCACGTTGTACTGAAAGTACTTTAAGTCAAAAAGCATAAAATGACAACCGTCTAATCCTAGTAAACCTTTTACAGTGTGAATAGACCAAGATAACTTTCGGGATAAAAAGACCCCTAGAGATTTAATAGTTGACGATCTCGGTCTGAAGTGATCACTCACTGCCAATGGAGAAGTGGCGTCCAAAACAACTTGTAACTTGTCAGCTTGGAGAAACGAGAATGTCGTGACATTTTGAACGGTTCCAAATCAGGGATCGGGATGAAAACCGAAGCACAAACGTATCTTGAACATTTTAAAGAGTAGAACATGTCACAGCGGTTGAAGCTACGCATCCAAATGCGACACTGTCAGAATACTTGTATTCAATAAAGATAGATGGGTAGCTTTTTAATGTATAAAGAAAATAGAGCAGGTGAGAGGACGGCTCCCTTTAAAACACTTCGACTAGAGAGCAATGCAGAATACTTCGCTCCATTCACCTGAGTGAATTGAGTGTTTTTTTGTGTGAATTAGTCTTTAACTACGCCGCAAACACCTGTTGGAACCCCATTTGCGGACAACTGGTTGAGCAGGATTGATCTGTCAACGCTACCGGAAGCATCTGTATAGTCGAGAAACAGGAGGTGAACTACCCCGCTTTTTATCTAGTACAAATGTGAAATGAAATGTGTCAGCTTATACGCCGTAACGGCGCTTTGCTGCCGCGCGACCACCACCAGTCGCGCGCGGGCTGAGTATACCGCGAGGACGCCCACCCCTAAGCGGATTCGAACCGGTGACCTTATGGTTGGAAAGCAAACGTGCCAACCACTCGGCCACCGGCCGATTATCTAGTACAAGTGCTATAGAATGCACAAGATAGGACACCGCATCCAGTGTGGAGCGGCCATGTTTGTAAGCGAACTGGTATACATTGTTTTCATTGGTGCCTGTGAAAATCTGAGGAGCCAGTAGTATCTCGAAGACCATCAACGTCACCCATGTGCATGCTATTGGACGATACAATTTTGGAACAGGTGTTATCCCAACAAGTCTCTAAATGTCAGGGACGGTGCCCTCCATAAGGCATCAGTTAAACATTGCGGTCAGAGGTTCTGCAAGATAACGTGCACAGTACTTTAGGACAAGCGGTGATAATGCATCGGGGCCAGTAGTCTTATTTATCTTCAACTTTTTGAGTTCACAGCAAACATTAAACCTGTCAAAGGTGACTACCTGACCTGTGTTGGTGAAGTGGGGCAAAGAATTAATACCCTGTTGAGAAGAACAAAATTCAGCGTTGAGTTTGTGCACATCCACGTTGTCAACGCGCTTATGGGAACTTTATCCACATTGGTAATTCAAAACTCTCTAGAGATCGCCCCAATTGTGAGAGACCAGCATTGTCTGAATGTATAGACGGTCTAACCTTCTTATCTCGGATTTGACTGCAATAGAGTCTTTTAACTTGCGCACTCATTTTGCATTTATAGACTTATTATTTCTTTGTCCTAAGGTATTTCAGTAACGGCGACGAAAATCTATCCATGCGTAATAGATGGTTTCAGCAGGGCAGTACAAATCGAAGCAGGATTTAATATATTCAGTCAAGTGGTCGCACTCCAAAGATAGATTTTCGTTCTTGAAGACTGAGAAGTCAGTTTAAGTCAGCGTCGTTTGGATTTTCTCAATATTTTCTGTCGAGTAGCCTCTCCTGACGGTTTTGAATGTCTTCCTTGTCAAAGAGACATACTTGGTCTTGCAGTACATGACTGGATGCAGTGATCTGAGTTGTTGAGAGACGCCCTTTTTAGTGTAGAAAATAACTTTTATTTGTGAAGATAAAATCTAACTGTGCGTTCAGTCTGGTTTCGAAGTTCACCATATTTGTTAGACCGAGAGATTTGATGAATGCTGTGCCACTTGTTAAAATCACCACCAACGATACAGAGAAAGCTCTCAACTTTGGGCAGTAACTCTGAGGAAAAATAATCGGCAAAGTTTTTCAACTTAAACCGTTATGTCTCAGGAGCTATATAGACATTTCCAATGAATACAGAATGAAAACCGCTCAAAAACTTTGGTTTAAAATTAATTAAATAGCAGCTAACCTTTGGCGTTGAGTAAGTAAACGACAAGGCCACGGATTTGCACCAGAATTCGTTGATCTAACTGGTGACGCCTCCACGATTATGCGCCTATCTTGGTCTATCTGTCTTTTTGACACGGTTGTCACCGAGTTGGATGACGTCCTCAACGTCAGGATGGAGCCAATCTTCTTGAAACATCATGACACCTAAGTTTGCAAATTCCTTACGCATCATAGTGGCAGTAACGTCAGCGATTTTACTGTGATAGCGCACATTGCTGGGAGAAATCAGCGGGATTTGTTCTCTATGTACAGTATAGTGCCTGAGGCCAACTTGCCAACCAGGGCGATGTTTTCTCATTTTAACAAACTGTTTTTTATAAACTTTGTTTGGTGGTGTTTCTGGCCTTTTTACCGCATTCGGCATAAACTGTGCTTTGTGCGGCGCTTCGAAACGATTTTAACAATTCAACAGAGTAGAATATCATCGATGACCTTAGAATTGTTCAGATTAACAAAATTCCGAGAACAGCACATAAAAATGGATATATCCGGAGTAAATAGCGTAACAAACAGTACTCCAAGGAGAAACAACGGCCAGTTTGAAGACCCCGCTTGAAATGTCGTGCAAGTGCAGCCTGTTGACCTATTTGTTGTGGAATGCGAACGTTGAACACTGCCAAGGAAACGGAACAGCGTAACCTTATAAGGGATTGTTGCCGATAGGTATCCAGTGGATGGTGCGGGAAGGTAGCTGCATATGGTAGAACTGCGGTGGCATTACTGCTACTGCCATTTAAGCTGGGAATTATAGTAGATTAGTAATTGGTGTCGAGATGTGAGTAAGAGAAACAAGTGAAAACAAGAAGGGATGCATCAGCTTTCGCATGTTTTCACTTATCCGCCCCGCTTTATACAGCAGATGAAGCGACCATTGCTAAGCTGCACGACGGCCGATACTGAATGTGGTTAAAGTTTGGTGCAATTGTCATGGTTATATGTAGGCTGAAGTACTTACAGACAGGGCGCCCAGACTTAGGCAGGAGGACGATTAGGGTCCTCAACCAAAGCCTTTGGTCCAAAAGCCTGTCTGCAAGGCAACGTAGAGGTGGCAATGATTTAGTTTTACAGAAATGAACACTATCCCATTAAAAACCCCCAACCTGGAGGACTAGGAGACTGAGTTTGTTTGACCCCCAGCCATTGACCAACCTGGTGGGACTAGCTGTCAAAGGGCCGAGGAGCACGACCCATTATAGTTCAATAGGTCGAAGAGATACGCAATCCGTCACACCACGTTAAAGTCCATTCCCAAAGCAATTTTGTCGTCTACATTGTATTTTTGAACTTTATGCTCGGTGGCTCCTTTTACTCTCGCTAGCGTTTACCACACAGTTACTCAGATTTAAATGAAAATGTTTAGCCCTACAATCTTTGCTGTTGCCCAGTCCATTATCCTAACTGCACCTCTGTACTATATCTCGTACTGTCACATCACGATTGTGTAATCACTGGGTAGTTATATTCGATTTTGCGCGCCCACTAGTCGTCCATTTGGATGCTTGTAGTGTTCCTGTTACTCTGGCGTATGCTACGCAGTACACCATTCCTTAATTCTTTGACTATGACAGTTAAATTAAAAAGAACTGCACTCAAAACGCATTTCAAACACCCACTTTTACACTCTTGTAGTGTGTTTCGTTATTTCTTCCTACCGTGACTTCTCATTGAAGAACCTGCCGATTTTGTTTGCATCTGCGCATTATTGTTTTTGCCCATCGTTACATTAACGATTTTTGCATTTTCTTCCTTAGCACCTCGACACCATGCGCTACCCCAAAATTGGGGCCTCGTCCACCACCGCCAAACGTGAGCGTGCCTAAATCTGCATCCAATCCTCCGATCACTTCTTTCAATGGAAGACCAAATGCAAAGAAGCCAAACGCAACTGCATTTAAAAATACCACTCCGGGGTTCACCGTAACCTCTGTACCGGTTACTTGTACACTTTCCTCACGCACAACTTTCGACGTGCATGCCCCATATCATCCTGGTCTTTCTCAAGTGTATAAAAGTTTGCCCACACGACAGTACAGTGAGTGATGCCACATTCGGAATGCGTTGTTTATACTTTCATTCTTCAGACTCATGTTATTTGAGTATTTATTTCTAGACTCTGTTGAGCCTCAACCCGTCCCATCATTCCCCTCTATTTCTCCATTGCTAAAGTGAAGCTGTGAATAACCTGTACTGTACCTGAAACTATGTCCCATTTGCTAGCCGATAGCATTTGTCTTCGGTCTCCAGCTTGCTGGGATGTCGTGTTACGATTGACACCGCGTCGATTTATCGCTTCACCTGACCGAAAATCACCGGTGATTGCAAATGTTGCTCAGACCCGGTGGGAGCGCCTAATGGGTGCCACCGAAGTATACCAATCGTTGTTTCACAGCTGGCCATCAGGGGCTGCATTCGATTGTCTGTTGTCCTCAAACTGCTTACGGTTGCCCACCGCTTTGGCTTGCATCGTTGACACCGTTGAAGTTGATTGGGCTGATCTCGAGGTGGCCAACCCATAACTTGGCAATTCAGCGTAAAATAGTAGCCGAGAGACTTGATTTCCACTGAGTACGGTCCTTTTAGCTGAGGTCCTCCGTTCTAGGCTGCCTCATTGGTTGGAAGTCCTAGGAGTAGTCACGAAGCCGGTGGCGTTTTGCATCCTTTTTATTTTCTCTGGCCCCGTTTCCTTCTGTCAATTTTAGCTTCTGCTTTTTGTTGCTTATTTTGATGTTTTCGTCTCTAACGATTTTTTTGTTCTTTCACTACTGTCTTCTGGGTAACGAGCTCCAAGATTGCCGGTTCCACCGCAATTTGTTTTTTTCTCTCAACACTACTGTTAGACATGAAATATCCAAACCTACAGTTGTCGTGAAACGAATACCGAACACAACACAGACCAGTTCATGGTTTTATTAGTGGGTTCGATACCACCCGATTGCCCAAACTGAAGTAGGGAATTGTCCTGGGAAACTTTTACTTTTACCTGTCGTCCTGTTGAAGCTCTCTGCCTATGAGCAGACGTATCTTCAACACCACTTCTGACGCGACTCCGAAGTTTAAAAGAACTAGCTTAGAAACGCAAGCTAGTTATTCACGTCAATAGCATAACTTCGTAAATGGAAACAGGCTGAAAATGTATACATCGAAGCGATTTTAGGCAGCAATGACGCTTGATCTATGGAATCTTTTGAGGCGGTTCTGTGATAAAGCCTCTACAGCAACTGTGATAACCTGAATGTGGGTAAACTAAGTGCGGAGTTTAGCTCTGCATTGTCAAGTGCATCCCCTTATCTTCCTTCATCACCTGGAGTCCAAATGCTGCTTTCGACCAAGGCAATGTTCACGAGGACCTCGAGAGACTAAAGTAATACAAAGTTAATGGTCCGGATGCTTTATCCATAGTAGCTTTAAAAGAATGTTCTGATTCTCTCACGCTACCTTTTACAGAATTCTGACAAATGTACCACTATATTTGTGATCCGGTATTTGGAGATCGGCCAGAATAGCTCCAGTAGCCAAAAACTAATATCATGCCGTCAGACTTCTTGTACCTCTGGGTTACTGAATCTTCGGAAAGCTGCTTATACCACCGATTTTCACACTAACTTCTGCTGAAATTATCAATCGACTCGCTTATAGATCTCAGCGATCTACACCGAATGCAGTTGCATAACTTTTTAATTCTAAGGCCTCTCACTAGGTCAAATATGTAAATCCGTATGGCTTCTTTTTTCTTGATTATTCAAATGCTTTCGGAAGTCTGGGTACATCAGTTTTGCTCACTCCGCTTTCTGAGAACGAAGTTCACTCGGGTGTTTCTAATCTGTTGCTTGACAGTTTTACAAATCATAGTACTTTTAACCGTTAAAATCGTCAGAAGTCCTCTGTCACCTTTACTATTTTCCTTAAATTTCGGACGTTTCCCTCTACAAACCACGTTTGTGGGATGTAAACCTGTTGATGATTTGTTGAAATGAATAGCCTTCATCCTCCGAGCTTTCTCATTACCTCAACTTGGATCGGTATATTTGGTAGTGATGTTCATCCAGATCTCTTTTTCTTCGCGCTTCCGAATTCATTGATGTGATATTTTTCTCTTCGTAGTTATATATATATATATATATATATATATATATATATATGCCTCCCTCACTCTGATTGTGAGCGACACTCCCCTACACAGGTCACTCATGGCCACCCATCTCGGCATCTTTTGATCCCAAAACCTCTTGGTCTACGAACGTTTATGAAAGTTTTCCCATTCAGAAAGCTTAATGCTCTCATACTTGAACTATCTACAGTAACCCATAGTTTCATCTTTAAGTTTGTAACTCAGCGCCTTCTCCCCATTGGTTTTACTACTCCCCTGTTAACTCCCCTGTACTGCTTCAGAAAGATTGCATCTTGTTGGTACGATCGATAAAGCACATTTCTAGATCCTCTGGGTAATTTCATCGGTTCTGAACACCTTGACATCCGCAATAACTATTCTTCTAAGGTCCTACATGTCCGATTTTCTCCACTGCACAATGATTTTCAAAACGCTGTTTATGTTCTACGCGTTTAACAATTCTCCACACTTCAGCATACGTGACGTTTGCTTTCTGGTCACACAAATGGTTGTTGGAGTGACAGTTGTGTATATGCTTCGATATTATCTTCCGGTACATCCACAGCTGTAGTCTAAATACTTGTAATGAACCCATTTGGGTTCATAAGGCTTATTTAGACTTGACTCATGCGTTTTACGTGATTCAATTCATTCTCATCAGACACGCAGGATTAAAACTTGTCGTCGTCCTGAGCTTACCAAAGCTGCGTTTAGCCTGATCAAGCGTACTCACTTGAATTCGGTTTTCACATTTCCAGTTCGGATCCGCTTCTCACCACCGGAGAAACTGTCAAGTCAGCAGCTTAGTTGAGGCGCCCAAAACGCTTTATTTCTTCTGATGTCTTTAAATCTGACTACTGCTTCCAAGTCTAGTGGCGGAAAAGTTGAAACATAATTCTCGGAATGAGTAGCTCACTAGGCTCCGTTGGCTGATTTTTTCGTTTACTTTTAGTAGTTTCAGCTCTCTCATTCCCAGATTTGGCACTCATATGTAAGCTACATCATTCCGTTGTGAACAGCTCCGTGTGTTGCGCCCAACAACCTAGCCCGAAGAGCCTTCAGGTTTCAGCTCAGTCTTCTCTACCCGTGCAAACTCACCGGCACAAAGTCCAACCGTTGTGAGCAGCCCAGTTTCACCTGGCATAAATTGTTTACCTTTGTTGTGTCCAACGGACACTGATGTCCCAGCAGGTGAAAGTCTGAGTGCTGACGACCAGTGGAAAGAACGAAATTACGGTGGGATGTTGGGCGTTTAACTTCTGTAAGTCAGCGGTTAGCCAAACCATGTGAGACTGGCAATGTAGTTCACCCTGCAAGGTCACTCTCGTCCGACCAGAGTTGTTATAACCTCGTGATCTTCCACGCGCCGGAGTCCACTGATTCATCACCCCAAGTGCGCTACGATCACGACGTCGAGTTTTTAAAGTATAATTGACAGACTCCTCGACGCTGGTGAAGACTCGGTACAAGTGAGGCAAATTACTCGTCTTGGAAAGCAAGGTGATCAACAAAATCGGCCTGTGCGAATCATTTTTGTGGACGAAACCAGCCAAAGACTGATCATGTCCCGTCTAAGTAGTCTGAAAGGTTTGAAGTTCCATGTTCGTCCAGACCTGGACCCAATAGAGAGGGAGCGGCTCAAGTCTGCCATCATTAAGCTGAAAAGACTTACTGGTGAGGGGGAAATAAATCTACGTATTGTAAAATTTCGGGTGGTTTCCAAGAATCTGCGAATCAGGATAAACAGGCTGCTCACACTTCAGGCACGCCCGGCGGCTCCTGATGCGACCTATGAGTAGTCTTCACAAACGTTTGTAGTGCGATATAGAAGCAAATGTTGGTAGCTCAGGTTGTTTAGTTGATTGGCTGATTGTTCGCTGAGCTCGGCAGGTTGACTGCAAACGTTTCGTCACCACTCGAGGTGACATCGTCAGTGCGAGTGTATTTAGCAGTGTGGCGCGTACGAGGCGTCGGTGAGTGGAGGATACAGGTCGAGGACCATCTAACTGACTGGTATCCCTCTACAAGTGGCATGCCTCAAGGCACTGTGCTGGGGCCCACTCTGTTCCTGACCCACATCTACGATCTACGTCATCTTCGGTCGCCGTGTGCCTTTTTTGCAGACGGCACTCACCGACGCCTCGTACGCGCCACACTGCTAAATACACTCGCACTGACGATGTCACCTCGAGTGGTGACGAAACGTTTGCAGTCAACCTGCCGAGCTCAGCGAACAATCAGCCAATCAAACGTTTGTAGTGTTATGAACAAGCGCGATGAGCTTTGTTGTTTCGTTGTGTCTGAGCGGCCAGACGTAGTGCGACTCGCAGAGACATGGCTGCATTCAGAGTTATACACCCAAGAACTTGAACTCAACGGTTACTCGTGCTTCCGATGCGATAGACTAACGAATGCCCGCGGTGCTTTCTTGCTTTACATCCGGCCTTTCCTGCGTGGGAGACTTGTGAGCACCTGCCGAAGTGAGCAGGTGGTGCTCCATCCGCCGCAGGCGCGGAGAATTACATGTGGGCGCAGTTTATCGCAGCCCCTTGAGTCGTTGTTTAGATTGGCTGCCCCATCTTCGAACCCACATGAGTCGTCCACACCTTCTACCTATGGGCGATCTTAACTGTCCTCGAATATGATAGTCTGATGTGCATTCGATGCCTGGAGGTTGAAGCAAAGTTCGTGGATTTAGTACTTGAAACTGATGCATTGTAACACATATGCCAGCCACCACGCATAACCCCACGCTCAACCCCGTTCTGTCTCTACCTGATGTTAACGATCTACGACCAATGAGTGCATGACGTTGGGATCCTAGAGCCCCTGACTACAAGCGACCACTCAGTGATCATAGCTGATATGGAATTACCTTTGCCGTATTCACGTCTGCTGGAACCAGCTTACAACTACTGGAAAAGGATTTCGACGGTCTAGCGCGAGCCAACTGGATTAGTCTCTGTCACAAGCTGCATTTGTGGACGACTGTTGGATATTTATAAAAGAGAGGTTGATATCATTGTGTTCCCAATCTGTGCCCTTGAAATATCGGAAGGTTGGACGGATTAATCCTCATTGGTTTGACAAGGAGTATGGAAATCTGGCTTGGAGGCGGCGCAGACTGTGGGACAGTTTCCTCCTCGCTGGCTCTGCTAATAACTACGAAGGGTATAAAATTCAGCGGAACCTCTGCAACGGTGCAATAAAGAGTAAGCGCCGACATTTCGATGAGCAGCTCGCAATCGCTGCGAAGACCGCCCCAAAGAGAATCTTTGCTTACGTGAAGTGACGCCTGAAGCCGGCAGGTGATGTGCCAGTGCTGGATGGCCCGGACGGACAGCCCCTAACCTCCAGCATTGAGCGTGCGTCCGCGTTGGTGGCGCAGTTCGCTTCTGTATTTGCAAATGACCAGGTGTCTGTTCCGAGTTCGATGTGTACCGCTTTTACCGAACTTGACAGTCTGGATTGCGGCGTTGAAGAGGTATGTCAACTACTCGCCAACCTTGACGGCACCAAACCTGCCGAACCTGATGGGCTTCACCCACTGATTCTTCAATCACTTTCGACCATCATCTCTCCTATCGTGACTGACCTTTTCAACAGCTCGCTGTCCGAAGGTTCGTTGCCGGTTGACCGGAAATGTTCGGTGGTGAAGTCTATTCCGAAAGGCGGCGACCCTAGCAATGTAGACAACTACAGGCCAATTGATCTGACACCTGTTTGGCAAACTTTGCTGAGAAGATGGTGAAGAAGGGGTTGCTGCAGTTGCTACAGTCAAAAGAGGTCATGAGGCCCACACAGCACAGTTTTATGCAAGGCCGCTCATGCATTACAATTTTGCTGGTGACGAGGCATGAGTGGTTGAAGGCAATAAGCAAGGGGGTCTGTCGATGTGATATTCATCGGTTTCAGTAAAGCGTTCGACTAGGTCAGCCATGAGGTTCTCTTTCACAAACTCAGGATGTGTGGTGTCGGTGGCTCACTGCACCGGTGGATCAGCGACTTTCTTGTTGGACGAAAGTGGAGGATACAGGTCGAGGACCATCTAACTGACTGGTATCCCTCTACAAGTGGCATGCCTCAAGGCACTGTGCTGGGGCCCACTGTGTTCCTGACCCACATCTACGATCTACGTCATCTTCGGTCGCCGTGTGCCTTTTTTGCAGACGGCATGAAGATTTGGAGAGAAATTGACGCCGCTGATGACTGTGGCCTACTTCAGCAAGACCTCAACCGCCTATCCACATGGTCTGCAGAAGTTCATCTCCCGGTCAACCCAGCCAAGTATATATTTATGAGCATGGAGAAGGGTGCTGACGCCCGAACCTACACGCTTGACGGCCAACCGCTATATCCCACGCCCTCCGTGAAGCACCTAGGCGTACTCGCGTTACGATTTGAAGTCCGTGGACAACACGAACAGGCTATATCGTAACGGACTATGCATGCTTTGGGCGCTCAAATGTAGCTTTAGCACATGGTCTGAAGAGGTTGCCACTCGTCTCTTCTCTTCCATCATTAGACTAATGCTAGAGTACAGTTCGCCAGGCTACTTTCCGTTTACCCAAGGCGAAACACAAAACATCGAACGGATCCAACACGTTGCTACCAGGCTCTTCCCGGGTTTATGTGGCTTGGGTTATGAAGACCGGTGCGAGAGACTAGGGCTCTACACCTTGTCCTACCGTCGGGTGCGAGTCGACCTCATTATGATCTACCGTATTCTACATCGGTGACTTCCCCATGCTGAGGCCAATGCTGCACTTACGAGGGCCATGCAGCACACGCGGACACAGATACAAACTTGTCGTGCCGGAGATGAAGCGTGTTCCCCACCCACTGTGCTTTGGACGGAGAGTGCTAATTATTTGGAACAGTTTGCCTGAACATTTGATAGAGGCAGCATCTGTGAGCAGTTCAAAACGTTGTTAGATTTATCTTTTACCACTATTCGATTCAGAGAACGATTGCACACTTGCGATGCATGTCACATTTGTGAGTCCTGCAATACCGTGAGTCAGCTATTGTAAATGTTACATGAGAACGATGACGATATTCACGACTGACAATTTTTATAACGTTTTTCACGATATTTCGAAAGAGTAGTACAGAATTCATTTCTACGCTCTATAATACAGTATTCGGTATTCATTATTCTACGACTTTGCTGTAATCCACTGCTCACCGGTTCGAGCTTGCATGGGTGCGAGTTACCTCGCAGTATGTCAACCCACATACAGCGATGCTTGCTTGGCAACGAAGCGTTTGTGCGGCTTGCTGGCATACTGCTTATGTCTTAGTTGTTATCCTCTCATTCACCGAGGAAGCAGCCTCATTTCGGATGTCTCCAAGCTATTGGCTTCCATTCTGCTTCTATCATTGTCCACATTTTCTGGGTCATACTACCGTGGGAAACAAGCGGCCTGTCGTCCCGGTCGTTTATGCGTGGAATAAATCTTTCTATTCTTCCAATACCTTGGACGCTGTTATTCTTGCCAGAGGACCACCATCGCCTCATTTACAGACATAAGGATTGCATTTCATTAGTTAGTCAACCCGCTTTATATATTGCTTGCTACAACTCGAGTCCCAGATAAGTTTACTGCCATCCTACCTACACCATGCCCATGTTTCCGGCACACTGATGGTCTACGGCAAGCTTTCTTTGCCCCTCACTGATAGTAGCAATGTGCGACAGCGCTGCGTTATATCCCTGTTTCTCTTCAGTTTTCTACTTGACGACGTCCAAATGAGAGCTTTAGGTTTCCAAAAATTTGGCTTAGCGATTCTACCGACAGATTAGGCTGATGATATTGCCTTGGTGTCGATCCGTAGATTGAGCAATTCATCATGAGCCGTTTGGCGGTTGGAGCATCCAAGTATGGCATGTGCTTCATTCATAAATGTAAAGGGATCCTCCAGGATTGGCCCACATGTTTCCGTTCTCGCGCTTCTAGATGCGCAGCTCGAAAAGGTAGTTGATTTCTACTGATCACACTGTCGGAAAGGTTTCTATTCGCATAGCTTAAGCCCAGTCGGTATTTCTATCTGAGGCACTTGTGACACCGTCGGTATTTTCACATATCCGTAGAAGCTCAGGTTCACGACGCCTCCGTTCGCACAGTCTTCTACGGGAGCGAGTTCTGACATAGAGGATATGAACCGGCCTTTTGCTTTCGACGTTGGTTGTCTGTTGGCAACACCGAGTTCCCAATGATGAATTCAGACACCGTGATTTAGTGAGTACGAGTATTCCCTTCACAAGCTGATTTAGATGTAGCGAACAAGCTTGTTTTCATGGCTTCATCATCAGGCTAATACAACCACAATAAAGCAAGTTAGAATAGACACGATGGTTTAAATTGAGTCACTGAAACAGAGTAACTAATCGATAAGTCTACGTGTTTGGTCTGATTGGTCAAGTGAATTGGCGTGACTGCCATTGTTAGTCGCGTTGATCTCAGGCCAAGGCAAGGCTAAAGTGTGGACGAGCTTTTTCTGTGCACATAGGTCCGGGTTATGGAGCCGAATTGCGATCGCCTCTGCTGTCGACAGCAGGCGACATCTGACTGCCCGTGTGAAACGTCCAGGGACACAGTAAATCGGTGTGAATGCGTCACGCGAATCGATTTGATGGTCGGAGTCAACTAGGTGCGACAACACTGCACTCGTTATATTCTTCCTCACGCCGCTGTAGAGCCAAGCTGGGCAATGCTCTCGAGCCCTAACGGACAGTCGCCTGGTCGTTTTCCCGATATACCTTGCTCGACACGAGCAAGAGAAATTGTACACACAATGGCAGTCACGCCAATTCACTTGACCAATCAGACCAAACACGTAGACTTATCGATTAGTTACTCTGTTTCAGTGACTCACTTTAAACCATCGTGTCTATTCTAACTTGCTTTATTGTGGTTGTATTAGCCTGATGATGAAGCCATGAAAACAAGCTTGTTCGCTACTTTCTGTTTCTGATGTCATCCCCGGGAATTATTTCTCAATTGATTTAGATGTGTCAGTCGAGCTGGATCGGTCATGCCTTACACATGGTGCCTGCCGGTTTGTCATACCGTGCCTTGTTCGCTCATGCATGATTGTACTGGAGGCAAATCCATGGTGGTCAGCGTTCAACTTGACGGCACCACATGAAATCAATGGCATCACTTCTAACCGCTGTTGGACCCATACGTGTTCCTGACTCGGGACTCAAGGATTAGGTGTGCCACTGGCTCAACTTGCTTGCAGACGCGGCTCGCAACTAGAATCAGATGACGAACTATGCACAGAGTTGTCTGGATTCACGTTCAAGGCTTCGAGTATCGAAAATGATAAAAAAGAAAAATAGTTCGTGGAAAACGTACGGAAATGATTCGCTTTCAACTAGACCTGTTATTTCCTTTAATTTCCATTGTTTTTTGATGACTCCGTACCTAGTTACTAGATTGTTTGTAATATATATATATATATATGTATATATATATATATATATAGTTACAGAACGTGCTACCTCCTTCTTCCTTTCGATGCATGTTTTTAATGCTTCACATTCCCACTTGTTCTTTATTGTTATCTATATCTCACAATTTATCCCTCCGTCTTATTCTCACTATGGTAAATCCTCATTTTTTCCAGATTCGTCTATCAGGAATTGGTCTTTCGGGCTATCGGATTACAATGAGTTTGGTAGGCCAGGCATTTTTTCATAGCGTTACAGTGCGCCAGTTAAAGAGCATACCCGAAATTGTGTTGGACGGTCTCCCTTTCGCAGTGTTGAAGGTACGATTGGTCATACTCACTTTAGTTTTGAGACTTTTAAATCCGCTTTTTCATCTTGCACACCAGCCGTATGCCCTACTCCGTCTCATAATGTCAATCTGGTCGACCACATCTCACAAGATCTAGTCAATTCCCTATTACCTTTTCAACGTGAAGGTGTTAGGTGAGTCCCATTAAATTCATTAGTCTTCCCATCCATCCATTGTTTGCCCTGTTCATTAACCTACATTGCGTGGTATGTTCCGCAACTGCCTGCATATTCTTTGTTTTGAAGTCACCCAAATCCACCAGCTTTCCGACACTGATGTACGCCCCAGTGGTCTTATGAGGAGCCTGGAATATCGCCCCCTCTTTAGATTATGCCATATGTACGATGCCTGATTCACAAGAGTAGTACCGATCAGATTCGAGGTGATTGCTTGCGAAGCCCGGTGCATCTCGTCAGCGTGTGCACATCGACTCTCCAGTTTTGGAATTGAACTGTAATTAACTTTTTATTTTTAGAACATCGAATGTTATTCACTTACCTTCAAGTTCTTCTGCTTCTTCATGCCTTTCGGTGTAATTTACTAGCTCCCTGTTCTCACTATGCGTCATGTTGAGGTTGATGTTGCATACATCATGCTTCTTCACCGCTGCTGGGCTAAACCAACTTACACTTAGACTAGACCTTCATAACACGGATGAAAAGTATTGGTCTTCATGTGATTTATTCAATTCTGTTATTCTGCTGCATATTCCTTGTCAGTTTTGCGTATTTATTTTCCATCAAATTCTGCGTTAGTTGTTTGATATCCCCGGTGTGGTTGCGCTTGATGTGAATATTGACAAAGTGCCAGCCTGTATAACACCCTCCAACTCGATTACTGGCTCCAGTAAACAGTTGGTCGTTGCTGGAGTGGACGGGGAGCAAGGTCCTTGTGTCCGTGTTAGGTTCAAAAAGTGGTTCCATCCAGGGTGGGGTGGACAACGGCTCGACCACTGCTTTGTGTACGTCTGGTACGCATGATTCCCTAATCAAACTGACTGGAATGTTGCCGCTGTGTATGTTAAAGGAATGTTGGCCGGCTTTATTGATAAACATGGCTCCCATCCACATTCCTCCTGGTCTTGTTCCTTCTGGTTTACACTGGATATGGGGTGTGTGGATGGAGCTGTGGGTAATGCAGCGCAAGCCACCCATGGTCCCTCGGTAGGCGCAGGCGTCCTGTGTCTCTCCTATGGAGGACGCAGTAGAAGGCAAATCCGAAACCGGATGCCGCCAATCATGTTCACACTGTACAGTACCGAATGCCACGCAGCGTCCTTCTCGTAGTGCAATCCCTACCCTATCATTGTACCAGTTCGGGTGGATAGTAGCGAAACACAACTTTTCCTTTACCTCTGTTGATGTCCTCTTTACTCCTTGCTCGTTTAAATCAGCTATGCTCATTGCCCACTTTTTCCCTTCGGTTGTCTTTCGTAATTTATGCCAATGTTCAGCCGAGCGATGTGACCCAGTCGGGTGTTTTGGCACTTTCCTTAATGCTAACCTACTTCAATGCAGTCTACTTATTGATGATTGGATCCCTAGTATCGCTTTCTGCTCTCACTAGATAACCTGCTTCCGTCCCACTTAAATTCACCTTATCCTTGCGTTCTTTGGTATAACTTTCGTTACCTTTATTCCTTCGCTTCCATTCAGGGACACTCGATCCGGAGAAATCGTAAACCTCTAATCGGCATGTCATTTAGCCCTTGCTCATTGACTCTTCATCACAAGTTGTCTCAGTATCCTTCTCGCTTCAAGTTCTTCCGTAGCATCTTGTACTCAGTGGCACCCACTAGATGATCTCGGTTTGTGGCATTTACGCAGTCGCTATCCTCAGTGCCTTATACCCCTGCTTCACCATCATACAATTATAAATGCAAAAAGGGCATTAGTATTAAAAGTTGATGCAAATAACCCGAACGCACAAATCAAACACCCCGTTTCATATCACTTTCCTTGCGAACACCGCTCGACCACGAACAGTCAACTATCGGGTATCGATGAAGCGTTTTCTGTGTTACAGCTTTTTGCATCACTGACTTATCTTTTTTCATCTTAACTTTATCCGCAATTTGCCCGCTGGTCTGAGCGAAGCCCGTACCTTGACGCGATTAGCTATGGTCGAAGCACCGTTTCGATTTACCTTCAGCTTTGTTTTAATCGAGCTTGCGAACCTTGACTCACCGCGACGATCGAGGTGGAGGTGACTGTTTGCTTTTAACCTTTCCCAAGCTATCAGTGATAATGCAGCTCCAAACTGTGTTTTGATGGAACGGTCTACGTCGAAAACTCGAACACACCTTGATCAAGTTCAAGTTGCTGTTTATTTTTTTGGTGGAATGTCGGTTTTCCTCATGCTTCCCTCTTATACTTGCGTTCGATGTCAGGTTTCCAGCCTAACTGTGGTTTATAAATCGTGTGACACCTTTTAGCCAGACAAACTCACTTCGCTGTCCTTTTCTGGAGTCTGTGGAAATGAACCACATGGACTTTTCAAGTAAGGCGCGCGTTTTGCGCAGATGGCAAATAATTAGCTCCGTATTCTCATTTGCACCACTGCCTTCAATTACCTTTAGGTGAATTATGTTTTCTTTACCAAAACTTCTTTCTCAGGTACGCCTTACCAAAAGTTAATTTCGTTGGGTATCTACGAACGGAGAATGTAACGGTGGTTCATTGGCTACTGCAAATCTATTACGCTCACGACAAGTTGTGTCTCGTCATCTGGCATCTTTTTCATGGCTCATGCCTCCTTAGAACTCGAATTGTCAAGTTATTGCTCTCATGATTGATTTTTGACGAGAGGTTAATACATTTGAATCGCACTTCTTTGACACAGCGTCGTTTTCAACGAGATCAGGTAGATTGGCGCTCCGTGCATATTTCACATTGTTTTCAATGCTTTTGTTCGCGGTATTTTTCTGGTATGGGAGCACAACCTGCTGTCACTTTTGCGAAGATTAGTCGCAGCTGGACTTAGCTATATATATATCCACCAAATAAACGAAACCGATAGACAGCCGTTTCTTCCTATTTGAACTCGTCAGTAGCGCACAGCCGCCCGATTCGAACCCATGATGTTACTCTTGCGAGTCAGCAATTTATGCCACTGAGCTTTGGCTACCGGTGGCGTACCGCTGTGAGTGCCTTATAACTGCGATATAGCGCGGCTCATCCTCCATTGTCATGCATTTTACAGGGCTAGCTCCCAGAGCTACAACTACCTTTGCAAGCCCCTACCAGTCGAAATGGCTTGTAAACTAAGGCGACTACTGATTGTTAGGGAGTAATATTCGGTGCGCCACCGTCACCCTTCCTCTTTAGTCACTGACTCGTAGCGGTTGCGCGCTATGAACACGTCTTAACGGGACGAAATGGCTATCTGGTGGTTGTTTGACTGAGTCTGCGACGAATCTTTTCAGGTATATAATAAATCCCTCTACTGCCTTCTGATCTGCTGTCTCTTTGGCCACCAGGGAGGACTCGTCTTGGGTGATCGACTAACACATATGCGTTGCAGATATTGTCCCAAACCAAGAGGGTCCAAATTATGGCACCCGCTCTTAGAACGCATTATCCATAGCGATAGTTGAGCAAATGCGTTTTTACATTGTAGCGTCTGCTGCTGTGCCGTTCACCACCGCTACTCTACATTTTTCAGTGGAAACCCTGTGTTACCAACAACTCAGTACGTCTTCTTGTTTACTGTACTGGCAAACCTTGTGGGCAGTTTAGCGGTTCGCTCTCTCTTGCAATTCTGAAGTGGTTTGAAAAATTGTCATACCCACAAATGCGCAGTGAGGATTAGGAGCAGACTCCGGACCGTAGATCAGAGGTGAAGATGTTTACTTACGGGCACCTCGCACTTATTTCGACTTATTTACTTTTACTTCCTGCACGTTTTACTTCACTCGCTGCCGTATTTTTTAGTTTTCGGTCCTATAATGACACAGTACATAACCCTCTTACATATGTTTTATTGCTTTTAAACGTGTTTTTGCGCATCGACCAACATACCGTTACGTACTACCTATGTTTGCCTCCATGGATCAAATTAAATCACACATAAGTTTTATAAGTATTCTTTGACCAGTTTCCTGTCAGTGTTCTCGTGTTCTCACCAAACGTTAATAACCACTGATATTTTTCTTTACTCCTCAGATGGGGCTAATCACTGTAGTAACCATTTATGAACCACGTACAACTTTGCGGAGTGTCAACAGCCCGGATTTCCCCTGTTAAATACCATGTCTCATCGCCGCAACTCACTTCCTTTTGTACTTACCTTAGAGTTTTGTGCAACATTCGCTTTTCCTGTTGTCTCCACTTTCAGCTTGGCTCTAGCCAAATCTGGACGCGTTTTGCTGGCCGATGATATGGGCCTTGGGAAGACGGTTCAGAGCTTGGCGCTCGCTGCGGCCTATCGTTCTGACTGGCCTGTTCTCATTGTGGCCCCCTCCTCTGTTCGGTTCGCTTGGCGCGATCAGTGCCTGCGTTGGTTGGGCGTCCCCCTATGTCTCAGCTCTGCTGATATTTTGGTCGTTACGACTGGCAGTGATTTGGCAAACATTCAGTACTTGACGAAACTGATCACAATCATCAGCTATGATTTAATGTCTCGACATGTGGAACAGTTGAGTTGCTGCAGGTTCGGTGTTGTTATTATGGTAAGTTTCACCTATTTATCTATGATCCTCTTGTGTGTATTGCGATTGTCTCTATTAAATCTGGATTTAGATATTACTCCATGAGTACGACTCCGGACTGTGGCCGAAAGAACAGTGCTTTGTAACCCGGAGGTCACGGATTCGAACCTGCGTGGATGACCGAGAGACCCTCGCAATATCTTTATCCCACGCGCAGCTGGTCGTGATTGCGTGGCAGCGAAGCGTCGGTACGGCGTACCGGCCTGCTGCTGATGTCCATGATTAGAATTCACTACAACGATGGCTCCAGTTTACGCTTGGGTGCCGTCTTCAAATGACTGATTTTATCCAGTTTCCATGTAGTTACCTACTCGAGCATTTTGGGTATCTTTGACGTACACTGCCTTTTTGATGTGAACTTTTCAGATCGTTAACCCAGTGGTTTGGGCGCCTGGCTTGCAACTGAATCCGTGTAGGGGCGGGTGTCCAGGTGGTATACTCAGCCCACGCGCGGCTGGTAGTGGTTGCGCGGCAACGAAGCGCCATTAAGGCGTACAACTGACGATTTTTTTATTCGTCAGACTCCAATGCTGTGACTAGCCCATTCCTTTCCATGCTTACCGCGACCGCCTTTCGCCTTTTTTTAACCAGTAGCTCCGTAGGTAAAGTTTAGGAGTTGGGATCGTAAATGCGATTTGTAGCCGAAGGCAGGAATCCTCCGTCTAGTTGACTATTTCTCAACTTTAACTACGTCTTTGCTGACAGGCCTGTGATTTTTGATCCTTTAGTGTAGGGTATAGGTGCAACCGAAAGGTAAATCGTATTCAACAGGCTGCCTATGTGCTTCCATTCTTTGGTACAACGATCTGCGGTCATTACTCCGGGCCATTGCATCTGTGGATCCTCACAATCGTGTCGATATACCCAGACCACCCAACAACCTGTTTGACGTTTTGGTTTTTCATCTACCTACTTAAAATGATCAGTAGTGCGGTTAGTTACTTCAAGTACTAACTCACCATCCGCAGACCAGCGGAGGACCCAATTACCCGATTACCTCGTCATGCTACTGCTGCTAGTAACAATAGTTATTGTTGCCGTTGTTGTCCTAAGTTCATTAACTACGTGGGCGGAGATCAACCTATGTCTTATCCACCGTATTACCAATGAGTTTGAAATAAATGAGAATATTTGTAGCTCGGGGTGTGGATGCGGATTTTGAGTAGTTCTCCGAGCTGGGTAATTATTTTGCAGACGTTTTGTTGCCTGACTAGGCAACATCATCAGTGCGGCTTCAGGGGCCTGGTTCGCAGTGCTATCTGTTGCTCTAAGAAACTAACTTGTTTATCACCGCCTAGTACTCGCTTACGCAAATCATCGCTGTGGACACGCTGGCGCCCCCTGACACCATCAGTGCTCCGCAGGCAACGACGATCGAAGGCTTGAAGGCGGCACAGATCTTCAGACCGAATGCGCCAAGTCTCATTCCCATAGAGCAGGACGACCTTCACTGTGGCCTTGTATACACAGCCTTTCAGACGGAGGAATACTCCCTTCTGTCGTCAAAGATGCCGCAGGTACAAAAAGGCAGTTCAGGCTTTTGCAATGCTGAACTGGCTTCAGTTTCCATGCGCCCATCGTTGCTGATGCAGCTGCCGAGGTAATTGTATCGATCAACCAACTCGAGTTCCTCGTCATCAAGGGTCAAGGGGTCATGAAGTGGCTGGTGGTCCTGCAGCAACACCGCACTTTGAAGGTGTGAAGCGCATACCAAATAAAGAGAGCACTCGCGAGTGACCATTCAGGGTTGATGGTGCCGCCGCAACAACGTTGAAAAGTAAGACGATATCATCCGCATAAACATGATTAACTAACCTTTCACCAGGCAGGACCTTAACGCCTGCATCTTGAGATTCCGTGAGGGAACGCTCCATGAATTAGTCCACGACGAAATTGAGCAAAAACGGAGAAACCGGACAATGTTGAATGCCACTTGTGATCGGAACGCTATCCGACAGGTCACTGTAGACTCTGACGCGGCCTTTAGTGCTCAAGTATAGAGCACGTAGCGTGTTCACATATTTCATGAGAATGCCTTTCCGCGCAAGTATTTCGAACGGAATCGATCGATCGACTGAATCGAACGCATTCTTGAAATCGGAGAACTCGGATACTGTCGGTCTGCGGTATGCGTGGCGCTACTCAAGCACCTGCCGCAAGTGAATATATGGTGCATACAACGACGTCTTGGACGGAAACCTACCTGCTCTTCCCTTATCCGAGATTCCCGTTCCACAGTGAGGCGACGAACGAAGATCGAGGCCAGTAATTTTGTCACAACTGGCGTTAGGCCAATACCCCCTGTGGTTAGAACAGTCTGTGCGACTGCCCTTCTTGTAAATTGCCACTATAATCGATTTGCTCTAATTAGGCGGAACACTCTTCCTTCCAGATACATTCAAATAGGGAGGTCAGTGCTTTGCAGAGGACCTCACCTCAATCCTTATATAGTGCAGGTGGGAGGGAATCCGGGCCAGCGGCACGAAAACGATTGCTGGCTGTGTTCTCGTTTCGGATCTGTGCTTCTGACGGATGCTCTAAACTAACCGTTCATGGCTCTTTTTGCATCACCTGAGTAGGAAGAGGTCCGGGAGCAGGGGGCCAGCTGAACTGAACTTGAAAGTCTTCCGCCCAACGAGCCATGCGACGCTCCTTACTGTGTGTGAGTGCAACCGCGCTGTCTTTGCTTGTCTCACTGACGCATGGTTTCCTGGGACCAATGGTGCGGATCAGCTGAAAGAGCTTACGTTACTGGCCTACTGCTCCTGCGTCCTCAATTTTTTCATCCTGACTGGTCCACCAGGCTTCCTTATCAGCACGTAGGCTCTGCTTTAGTTCACGCTTAATAGCCCGTTTGATCATATTGTGTTCAGAGCCAGCCGGGAGGTTTCTTCTGGATTCCAACAGGTTCACCGACTGGTGTGGTGACGATTGATAGTGCCACAAGTGGACGCTCCTGCCTCTTGCATGGCAGACGAGATCCTATTCCACTGAAGCTCAGTGTCATTAGGACAAGGGAGGGAATGTTCGGTACACATTTCTCTTGATAGGCTTGTCTGACCGAGGGCTGAGACAGTTTCTCATTTGCCACTTGGGAAAGTGGCTTGGTGCGCCTCCCGGCAAAGTTCATGGAGAAACGACAGCGTACCAAGGCATGATCAGGTCGACACAGGTATTCCAGTACGAGCGGCAATCCTGGATGGAGCCATGCCACCTGTAACTTATGGCAATGTGGTCAATTTGGGTCCATTGCTGGCCAGATACAGGAGGACACCAAGTGACACGTCGGTGCCCGCTGTATCTAAAAGCAATGTTACTAAGAAACAAATGTTGCTCCGCACACAGTTGCAGCAGTCGTTTGCTGTTTTCAGTTCGTTCGGAGTTAAGCCCATAATTATTATCCAGCTGGGCTTGTGAATAGCTCAGAGGTCCTACTTATGCGTTCATATCCCCTGTAATTATTATAATATCTGAACTAGTAGCACTGCGTAGTTGCGCGTGCATTTCGTGTTAGAATGTGTCCTGGACAGCATTTGATCTGCATTCGGTGGGAGTATAAGCCGAAACCACAAACAAACGGCGTTTTGCACCACTTCGTGAATCAACATTGGTCAATGTCATCAAACTAGCTGCACGCAAACTGATGTTCACCAGAATCCAATCAACCAATGGCTCAGCCTTGGAGCATAGAATGATGCCTACCTCAGCTTGACCCATGAGTGCTGCATCAGCGTCTCCGGATGCGGCAACCAATAACGAGGGGGATAAGCCGGTTGCAGTTAATTCAACAGCCCCATTAGGGTCATTGATCCTAGTTTCGGACACAACACACATCAATACCTAGTGTGTCCGAGGTGAGTGCGAACGTTGAACTTCGCCATGGAAACTGGACACCGTGGCCTTATAAGGGGCTGTTGCCGATAGCGTCCGATGGGTGTTGTGGGATGGTGTCTGCAGATGGTTCTACTCCAATGGCATTTCGGTTGCTGTCAATTAAGCTGGGAATTATAGAAGGAAGGTTAGTAATGGGGGTCGGGATTGGAGTAAGAGAAACAAGTGGCAAATAAAGAAGAGAGGCGCCAGTACTAGCATATTTTCACTTATCCGCCTTGCTGTATGCAGCAGATAAGGTGACCCTTGGTAATCTGCGCAGCGGCCAATGCAGGATGTAGTTAGAGATCGGGAAACGTTTTATGGTTGTATGTGGTCTGAAATACTGCCAGACCGAGCAGACCTAGACAGGAGGACGATTGGGGTCCTTAACCAAAACCTTTGGCTCACAAAGTTGTCCGCACGGCAGCGGGGAGGTGGCAATGATTTAGTTTTACAGAAAGGGACGTCATCCTATTTCAAACCCCCAATTTGGAGGACCAAGAGACTGAGTTTGTCTGACCTCTCACCATTGACAAACCTAGTAGGAGTTGCTCTCATCAATGCCCAGTATAGCCCAATGGGTCGTTATATTGCATCTGGCAATTTAACTCGCGACACTACTGCTTTGTAGCAATGTTAAGAGTAGTCGGAAGCAGACCATTTTTTATACTTCAACGGAGCCGATCCTTATCGGCTTAAGGGACCCACTAGTTATTGCCACAAGTTAGTGCCGCAAGGACAGGCTTAAATACTCCATCTTTCTGGTTCACTGCACAAGGGTCAATTCATTGAAGTGGCTGGTATAGATAGCCTTAGAAAGGGGCAGGCGGATTGAAAGCGATTTCAGAATCAATCCATTGCATACTTTTTTCTTTTTTCCACTCAGTGATATCCTGTTATGCGTGCCTATTTAAAATGACGTGCGACAGCATGGGGTCATGATGGCATACGGGTCTGCATCTCACGTACTATTCATTGTTGCTTTTCGTTGATCCAAAGGCTCTTGTTACCATGATCTGTCCGTGCCTTGCCGACTTCCCAACGTCAGTTCACCAACGGCACTATCATCCACATTTTAAACCAGTGTCCTCAAAATACTATTCTTCATGTAGGGGTCCCAAGACTAACGGATCATATAACTTCTAATGTTTTTTCGTAACGCCTTTAAGGCAATCCCGTTCAGCTTCCGTTTCATCCATATCACTCGCTCTAAAGCTTCCGCTCTCCATTTTGGCCATCATCGTTGCTGGAGATTGAGCTGCCCACTTTCACTCCCGTTTCTAGTTTACCAGTTGTCTTTCATCTTGCTTAGATTTTTACTTCATAACCACTTTTTCGAAGGTGCCTTCAGTTTTTTGACTCAAAAATTCGTTGCCTATCTACGATGTCTGAGTTAAGGTAGTGTACCACCAAGGATACACTGACGTTAACCTCCTTTTCGGGTCTGCTATGCTCACTCACATTTGCGAATTCACATATTTTGCTTTACCCATGTTTCTTTTGTAATATCGCTTGCAATGACTATTTTAGGATGAATCCCATTTACTGAAAAATAACAAGGCAGCTCGTACGAAGGCAGCCCTTCCACTCCTGAAAGTAAGTTTTTATTTGCTTTTCTGTGTTTACTACCAGTCACGTTTCCTTTGCACATTATTTCTGAAACCGTTGATGGCCCACAGATTTCTACGACGAAGTTTCTTTCGGTGTCTTCACACTGAATCGTGAGGCCTTAGCACTGCGGGTCAAATGATTGGTCAGCTGTCGCTCTCTATGTAGTGACTTCTAATTTGTCCATGCATTTGAAGTTCTTCATTATTTGTCCTAGTAGTCCGGCTCATCGACTCACTGCGCCATGATTGCTTTCCTGGTCGCAAAAATGACACAGCACATGGAAACCTGGTTGACTGACGTACCGGCTGCTGCATTCATGCTATTTTTACAGTTCCAATGGGACTGAACGGTTTGTGTATCACCTCCAGTCCGATTACCTATACCGGATGATTTCCATTGCATTGCAAGCTAATCTTACCATGCTACTCAGTGGTTTGAGCTTCATCCTCCTGGCCCGGCCCGTATCCTAATGATAACAAGCCTGTCTCTTAATCTGGTGGCGCTGGTTTGAGTGTACATTGTCCTTAGCTCTCGTGCGGCCGGTGTTGGTTACGGGGCAGCGAAGCGTCCGTACTGGGTACCGGCGTACTGCTGCGGAACTATTTGTGTTAGAAGAATCTTACGTATCGTAGCTTTATGTCCAGACTTTCATGGTAAATTCTCTAATTGATTATCTTTAATCATTTGGGTGTCACCACAAATTTCAAGCACTCGTGTAATCATGATTACTACCTCTCGGCCTTCGCGCAGTTTCATAGGCACCATCTTAATGCCCGCTTTCCTGTTTTTCTACTTTATCCTGCTCCCATTTGCTGAGATTTTCAATCGACAGTTTAGAGGATTGCAACAACACTATGCTTTGGGTTCTCTCACATGCATCCGTGTCACCGGCTTGTCAGAGCGTGTCCTAGCGACACAAAGCGCACACCGGGCAGGGAAGTAGTCACACCTAGATCTTAACTCCTTGTCGCTTGTCGTCAGTCGTTGCTGTAAAGCGCAGCATTGGATTCTGTCGGCTGATGATTTAGGAGCTCTTTGAGCACACTATTGGGTGAGCCCATCCAAATCCCATGCGTGCTATGCTTTCATATTTCTGTTTCCAAGAATTTCGGTGAGTTGGTCTGTCCGCTGTATTCCGTGGCACCAGAGGCTCTACTTGCGTTACTGCCAGTCATCCAGGCACACCTAGCATCGGCATGGAAGGTCGGCGATTCTATTGTGATCCGTCCTGGTAAATAGTGTGTTGCGATCCACCCATCTATTACCTAATATTTAGAATGACGCTTGCAAAGAAATCTGCTACGTTTAGAAAGCTCAATATAATGGAGAGGACACGACAAGGGATAGCGTCTGCTCGCCCTTCTGTCGTATTCGTCTTACCGTTCCGACGCACTTGGGGAAACGCTCTCACTTGGAGCTTAGTCGGCCTCCTGCTTCTGAGCCGCGGCTTTACTCAAGACCAGTTAGGTGAGCGGCTCTCTGTGAGCTTCGGGCTCAAAATACGCTGCCAGTCACATTGTTTCACACTTCTTGCCTGGATTCTTCCGAGCTCGCCATGCGTCAGGTTTTTCTCCGTGTGGTGAATCGCCCAATATGTTGTGACGTTTGTTGACAAAAGCAACTGCCCCACATAACAGGATAAAATTTGTTTTATAAGTCTACACAGAAAAATCGAAAGACGCAATTTGTGAACTTACTTCCGCCACTTTTTCGCGCATTCTTCTCAATCACAAACATGCAACTGTGATTGATGAACCAATACCGTGTCATATGAGATCTTCGATGACCGAGATAGGCTTAGAGCTATAGTCACCTGTTTCTGAATGCACAGCGCTTGGTGCTCGCGAACGAAGCGGTTATCTCCAATAGTCTATGCATGTGGAGCCGCTGATCATGCGTTAGCACGGTGAACGACTCATCAGGATGATTGCCTCTATAGCTGGTGGTCAACAAGTGCCTGGTGATTGCCGATGCAGTTCGGTTTCCCGATTCAACTGATCCCATCGTCACAGATCCCATCTGGCCACAGTACGAACGTCAGAGAGAAACGAATAAGGCGTTCACTAACAACAGTATACAATGCAGCAGAACTGCAGCTGCTTTGCTTGACGATATCTGTGCTCATGTGTTCGATTACGACGCCTACGATGAGGAAATGCTTATCCCACTACTTATGCAAATTCACCTGTAGATGTGGACACAGCACACCGAAGTTTCGGTGTCATAATCAGTGAACACATACCAAAGTAATTGCGCAGTCAGAAGGTATCTGTGACTACGGAACCAGTTGAATTGGGAAATCAACCTGCTCCTACAGCCACAAGGTACTTACTGATCACCGGCTACTGAGTCGTTCACCGCCAACGCTTAATCGGCGGCGTCACATTTTTATGCTGCTGGAGACCATCGTTGTCGTTCACGAGCATCCACCACTGTGCATTCAGAACCCACTTACTGTTGACTTAAGCCTACCCTGATAGCGCAATCGTTTGACCACCTATAATCTCATCTGACGCTATCTTGACTTATCTATTACAGTTGTACACTTGTGGTTGATAAGAACGCACGAAGCAGCGACGGCATCTCACAAATTACATCTCGAAATTCTTCTGTTTCAAACTGCATGGAATGATCATGATGGCAGTATTCAGCAAGAACAGCCGTTACCTTTGTAACACCTAATGGCGCATCAGCTCACCAGCACTGGTAATCAAGTTGTTGGCTTTCCCCCTCTTCCGAATCCTTTCCTCTTGACCTTTTTCCTGAAACACAGGTTTTCTGGCCTATTTCAAACTGGTCAGCTTTTTACTCTACACCTAGTTTTGGGCTATCGCTCCCGTACCACACGCCTATTACTGCGGCGCCGTTCAGTTTCAGGAGCACTTTTGATTTACTCGATCGTTTTCATTCTGTTGAATACGGTTGTTCAAAGTAGGTAAGCCTTTTATATACCCATTGCTCGAACTTCTCAGATCGCATCCCGGTCCACGGTGAGTTTTTGCACATCTGTCCATCAGTCATGAATAATTGACAGAGTTGCCTCATTTCTTTCTAATCGCATCTTGCGCTCCATAATGTTCTTTTGTGTAATCGCGCGATGCACATCTTGATACCCCGCACGGAGTAAAATGATTGCTCTGTGATATGCGGCGACTTCGTCTAGCTTTTCTACAGTCGCTTGGGGTACCATCGACCTTGAATAGTCTTTCCGGACTTGTCACAGCCGTTGTCATGCACCTTATGTCTTCCACGTACGGAGTGATCATTAGCGCCTTGGTGGCGAGGAACTGGAAACGATTTTTCACTTCACTTAAATTTGTAGTGCTGGGATTAATCCACGCATTACAATAGCTAGCGACGGTCTTGTGGTGCTGTGGCCTTCTTGGTGTCATACGAAGCCTTCCGTTGTCATTGTAGGCCTTTCCGTTCTCACGGACTGGATCAAACTCTTTAGCTCTGGCCTGAGTTTCTTTTGGTCTCTGAGCTATTTGCCTGTTGTTTCCTGCGGTGCATTGCCGATGTTGGCTATACTAGTGTGTTCACTAAGATTGGCTGAACGAGAGTCGTTGTCGGCAATGCTCAATGGGAGGCAGTGCAATATTCTAGATTGTTGATGAACTTCCCTCTCCAGGTCTACCATCTCTGGAGCGCCTTTTCATACTCAGTTCCCACCTTAACCACTAATAACGATTAGATATCGCACCGAACTCTCTACATTTTGTTACATGAAGGGATATTCTAGTATGTATTCAGGCGAACTAGCTTCCTTGGAATTATAACCCACCGTGACACGCGTAGCAATCGCTACGAGACTGGGCCTTAACGCGGTGCGATGGTTTGCTTGTCTCAGTGATCCGTTGGGTTATGCTTGGTATTGCTTTTGCACTTTCAGAGACACTCATATCAGATTGGTCAATGGTTAGAGGCCAGACAAACTCAGTCTCCTGTCCTTCCAGGTTGGGACTCGAAGTGAGAGTGCCTCCTTCATAAAATGGGATCTCACTAATCCAGTGCCAAAACTCCGCTGCCTTGCGGTAAGGATTTTGAACCAAAGGCTTTGGTTGGGAACTTTAATCGTTCTCCTGCCTTGGCCTGGGCAGCCTGACAGTATTCTGCCCACGCAATACAACGAACCTTTCTCCACACGATTTGATGCTCTGACCGCAGAGCAAATCAACGTCGTCCTATTTGCTGCATCGAGCAGAGTGGATATGGTTTGGATGCTACTGCTCCAGCCTTCTCGTCTTCTTATCCCCACTTGCGCTTGTTCATCCTTAGCATCCCGTCCCAACTTCACCTTTATCCCCCTGTTTTCAACCCCTAATTCTTGGCCCTCCCCCATCTTGGCTCAGTGATGTTTTATCTTCTTGTTTCGATTCACATGCAATCACACGGCGCCGCTCTGGTCCAGCTGACAAGTCCATGTTCAGCCAAACGGACAAAGTCAGCTCATCTGCTTCTTTTTGGAGCCTTCGATCCTCTCTAAGACTGGCATGCCTCATTGTGCGCACTTTGTTGCAGTTTGCTCAACAGTCAGCACTTGCCCGAACACTAGAGACCCCACCAATCGATATATGCTGCTTATCAGAAACTCGCCTGTGGGATTCGAGGTCTCTGCTTCCGCTGCGATCCCTAACCTGCGGCGCTGGCGGTATTTTCTCATTGCGATTGTCCGGAGACGACGTAGCTTCAAATACCCGTCAAGCCGGTGTGGGCATTGCTATTAGCCCCGGACTGAATCTAGCCTGATCGATTGGATCCCAATTAACAGCCAGATGTGCGCTGTCAGATTGGCTGGCTCGTTCAGAGCCTCAAAGTCGTGTGGGGACAAACGGTGCTATTTTGTCATTGAGACCTACGCGCCCTCAAATTGTAGCGCTGACTCGGTGAAAGACGAATTCCATCACCTACTGAACGCGCCCATCTATTACTGAAAAAGTACGTCTACCGTGGTGCTGGCTGGTGATTTGAACACTCAAGTTGGAAAACTGTCCACTGATCAGCTTCATCTTGGCGACCTATACGGTGTTGGCTCCAGTAATGATAACGGTGAGCGGTTGCCACACTTGTGTGAATATGCTCTTCTTTTTCTCGCGAGTATTAACTTCGCACACGGCACCCGTAGAAGGGTGACATGGCGCTCACCAGCTTCGGACCAGCCATAGATGCAAATCGATCACATTGCGATCAGTTACAGCTAGAAAGGCTGTCATAAACTGTCTCTCGATGTGCAGCACAAGCGTGGACTCCGACCACACTCTTGTTTGCGCGGACCTGCTGGTGCGTTTCGCTGGACGTCCGCAACGACGCCTTGGTCGCATAGATATTTGTCAGCTGGGGAAGCCAGATGTCCTTTATGCACACCAAACTGCGCTGGAATCTAACCTGAGTAAGTGCTCACTGAACACATTTGACCGTCACCGGTCGCATATATCCCAGATATTATTAGCAGCAGACATATCTTAGTGTGGCAAATCACGTTGCCAATTTGGACATTAGGTATCTACACAGTCTGAAACTTATAGATGCTCACCGGCGTGTTCCGACTAGAAGCGAGTGCAATGAGGCTCGCAAAGATCTCAGGGCGGAACTGCGAGCTAGTTTGAAGAGAGACCGCGAAGCTTGGTGGTCTCATGGTACATCGGAGATGGAAACAGCCGCTGCCATTGGTAATCATCGCATGTTATTCCTTTTGATACGGAAAACGGGTAGGAGGAGACCTGATGTTAACGTGAGTAGGCAGCTGATCCACAGCTTGTCAAAGCGCTTGGAGCGTTGGGCCGAATACATTAAAAGACAGTCTAGTCAGTCGAAATTGTCGGCTTCATTATCGGCCAGTGATCACTCTACTCCCTGTGCCGTCACACTGGATCCGCACTCACACGCCGTAATCGAACGTGAGATCAGACTGTTGAAATTGAACAAGGCTGTCAGAGCATATTGACTTCATCCAGCCCTCTTCAAATTCGGGGGACCTGCTATTTTGGACGATTTACACAGCTTACTAGTATATCTATGGGAGCGGGAGACTATCCGAACAGACCGTAGCCGTTCCGTTATAGTCCCAATTTTCAATGGAGTCTCCCGCTCTGAGTGCGGCAGTCATAGCGGAGTCAGTCTTATCTCAGTTGCCTCTAAGTTAATTGCCTCTGTCTTCCTCCATAAACTAACTTGCATCTGTGAAAGCCAGATTCACGAGGTGTAAGCCGGATTTCGTCGAAATCGAGACTGTATTGACCATCTTATAACATTATGTCGATTGTCGGAGCACTTCCATGTTTATTGGCGACCCACTGTAGTTGTGTTCCTAGACATCAAAGGAGCTTTCGATTCTATTGATCGATGTGCCCTTTGGGACTGTAATGATAAGTGTGCCAGATAAATATGTAACTGTCACAAGAGCGATGTGCGCGCGTAGTTTGGGCAGAGTGAGTATTTACGGCAAACTTTTGCCGCCCTTCAATATCTCCAGAGGTGTGAAACAAGGTTACTCGTTGTCGCCTTTCCACTTTTACTTCGCCTTGGACGAAGTCACGAGAATGACGTTCGCCGGGCACAACTTAGGTGTGCAGCTGTTTCCAGGTGACCGGCTTCTTGACTTGTATGCCGACGACATCGCGCTCATCTACGACAGCTCACAAACGTGCCAAGGTGCACTGGATAAATTGACTTTGTTTGTCAGTGGTTTCAGACTATGCTTTGCCCCTTCGAATTGTAATGTCCTCCAAGATTGGGAGAGTTCTACTCCTGCGCTGACCCTTGGCGGTGATCAGCTGGAACTCGTTCGGAAATTTAAGTACATGGGCAGCCCGTTGGATCGAAGATGGGGGCACGAACCGTGTTGGGAAAGCTCTGGGTGGTTTTGCCTATCTCCGGCAGCTGTGGCGCCTAGGTGACATCACCCTCGCTCTGAAGGGCAGAGTTTACAATTCAGCCGTCCGTTCAACCCTCCTATACGGTTGCGAAACCTGGCCCATTTGATCAGCCGACATAAAGGGACTAGCTACGTTCGATCATCACTGCCTTCGCAGCCTAGCTCATGTCTGGTGAGAGCACAACGTGAGCAATGAGCGTGTTCGGTGTCGTGTATTTGGTGCAGCAGTAGCGGGTGAACCGCTCACCACCATTATATCACGCACCAGGCTCCGATGGTTGGGCCACGTGTTGCGCATGTCAGCCAACTGACTCTCGTTACGTGCGTTGTTTGCGTGCCCGAGCTGTGGATAGAAGAAGAGGAGGGGTGGCCAAGCGATGATTTGGTCTGGAGGGATTAAAAAGATTTCATCATTTAAAGTGACATCATCAGTCCGTGCGACTTAGCAGTTTGTTAGCAGGAGCTGGCAAAAGCGAAATCAGAGGATGGATCGAAGGATTTTATCGTTGATTGGTCTCACTCTCCTCTTTTTAATCCATTTTCAGGCCTAGTTGTACGCTATGTGGGGCGCGTCCCCAGGTTGCGGATTGGGGAATGCCTTCATTTTGGAAATAACTGCGAATAAGCCTAGCCTGCGAAGCAGGCGAAATGCATAAGCAGTCGCAGACAATCAGCGGCAGCGTCTCATAATGTGGTTCTGGGCTGGTCATCTGGTTCTCCATCAAGTACACAAAAGCTGGTACGGCGCTGTGTCAAAGCCAATGTGACTGGCTATAGAATCACTGACCACTCACCTCTATAACTGGAGGTGAGTATTTAATGGAGGCGGATGAACAATCTTGATGGTCACCGGTTTCTCTGTGGGCTGCAACCGAACACAAAAAGGGCGAATTATCCACCTGGCTGTCAACGGTCTTCGTATTCACCCCAGTGCTTTGCGGGTCCCTTAAGTCAACCCTCTTCCTCGGCCTGGGCAACTGGGAAGCTCTCTGCCCACACGATACATGGATCTTCGCATCCCTTCCCTTGACGCTTCCTCATTTTTGTTGTTGTTACTCATGTGTTGGGGCACTTCCAAATGTTTATTAGTCAGGTGCTTCTTTAAAGTATGCGGCTTCGCGAAACTGGCCAGATTGCGTGGCGTTGAATACTGCGATGAAGTGATATCACCGTTTCTGCCTTCGCAAGACTGTCATCTGGTGTCTATGCGTATGCGTCTCGATCCTGCAATTTTTGTTACTTTTAATGAGTCCACATTCCATTGTCACTCATCCCTCCCCTCCTGCTTACAGACAATCATCCCTTTTGTTTTTTGATTGGGATGCCATAAGGCAATCGTTCAACGTTCGTATTCATCACTGTTGGCGATGATGGTTTTCAGCTTTTGGTTCCTTTACTAGAGAACGCGTCGGGATAGGGGTGACCGTGTCTACCATCGTTGTTAATCCTTCTATCGGAGTATTCACTTATGAGCAGTTGCTCAACGGGCTTATTGGATTTTTCTGGTTCCACTACCTCAGCACATGTCCAAGTATATGCATCCTGGAATTCTTCCATCCATTCATTGAAGTCAATTACGATTTAAGACAGCTTATTTTAGTGGCGATAAATCGCCTGTTGCCTTAGAGCCACCTCTGAGCATCCCACCCTGTAGGCAGAATGCATTGTGCATCCGACTTAAAAACGGCAGGCGGAGGCCTGATCGTAGTTTGATCGTGCAATTTCCTCATCACTCTCGAGCGTTTTCTTGTAATGCGATTCCATTTGTGTGCTCACAGCCACTGCGAGCACCGCGCCATCTGTCACCTCTCCGCTGTGCCACTTTATTACCGGTTAGGTTATCAAATGGGAACGCGTATCAGCAGCCATTAGCCCATCGATTGCGGAAATTAGAGGTTTTTCTCGGCTTATAACGTTTGTGGTGCACCACGACCTCACTTCGACCAAATCTCCATGTCTACGTGTCTGTACGGCAAATCTTCATGAGTGGATGGCCGCTTCTCCTTGACAAACCGCATGGCCTAGTGTCGGTTCGCTCACCGCCCTGGAGGATGCCTACCGTCATCGGTCAACGCGGATCGCACCTAAGACGCAACTTGGGTCAAAGCGATGTTTGGTTTTCACACGCTGGCCATTGATTTGGAAGAGATCGGAGGCTCGTATCTGTCAGCTATACTGCCTTCATAGTCGTTTTTAAAATAAGTTTACTTGTGAATCCACCTACTGAGGGTTGACAATCAGGTTATCTACAAAACTATTGTTCTCCAACCGTTTCCTAGTAGGGTGCCACCGTAGCATTTCTATTTGCCGGGTTAACTTCCAAAGTCACCTTTTCTTGCCCTCACAGGTGTCGCTAGACACATTGATTGCTTTGTTTGCAACTTAGTCATTGCACACATTGTGTACAATAAGCTGAGGTGAATACGCAAGGCAACTAAATTTAAATGGCTCTGATAGAATGCGGATCACTCCTAATATTTTACCATTTGTGAAAACAGACACTTTTTGTTGCCTCAATAACATCACATGCTTCTTCGTTTGATACTGCGGTGCAAATTCTCATCCAAACTTACATGTCCTTCATACCTTTTACATTTTCCCACAATGTATTTTCCGTCACTTCAACTTTTATGCGGCCGCATCGTTTTTCGCGGGCCCTTTTTTGCACTGCTACCTCCACTCGTTCATCAAAGGCAGCCAAACGCGCACTTCTACTGAGCGGCACTCCCGCTGTCTCCCGTCCGGCAGAGCTGTATCCGCAAATTTCCGCCATTGCACCAAACTTGTTCCGTGGTGGTTTCCACGAATACGGTCTGCGTTACTGCGCTGCGAAGGAATGTCCCTGGGGATGGGACTACACCGGTTGCTCGAATATGACGGAGCTGCAGCTAATTTTGGAGGAATCTATAATGATACGGTACGCAAGCATTGTTTCCGTCCATTTTCTGCTTTTGACCAGTTTCTTCTCATTAATCCGCGCACACTTGGTCAGTTTTTATGGCAGAGACCCAATGTTTAGAGAGGTTTAAATGTGTTTTCTCAACGCTATTAGTAACTTTAACAAAGGCGTAATAAGGTGGTATCAGTTATGCTTTTGTTTGCACTCACTGAGGGGAACTTCCGAGCTAACCGTTCGCTCACGGCCAAGTGCATCAAGCCTATCGTTACTGAACAGTAGGTTCACGTTAAATCGATCTATATCCTTTCTTCGTTCATCACTTCATTCCGACTGACATATTAATATGCGGAATTCTTTTGTCTACCCACGAGCTTCATTTTTCTTCCCATGTGCATAGAAATTTCGTTGTCCGACTTTCGTGTCGCTCGGGCTTCATCTAATTGGTCGACACTTTGTTACCACTTAACCTAACCATTATGAATAGTTACTGTACCGCTAAAAGACGGCTCACTCGTTTATTTGTGTTAACCGATTTTCTCCATTATATCAGTTACCAGACATAGTTAATCCGCGACACGCTTGTTAGCTTTTTCCACCGACCTTCAGTCGAACAACCGCACACGATGGTTTTGTTTGCTACTTCCTCGGGTAGCTACATGTTCGTACATATTCTCCATTTGTCTCGATAGATGTAACTTCTTTTCCCATTTCCTGCACCTTACCACTTATCTGCTTTCACCATAAACTCTTCCCGCATCATCGCACCGAGATTATTATAGGTTCAGACTTAATTCCAATCCTCTTACCTTCCTGACTTTTGTATTCAACCCGGTATTCCGCACAGGGGTAACACATGAAGATACGCTTTCATTATAAATTTCTCCGGGGAAGACTGAACTTTCCAAACCGTATTGCTGCCGCGCCCTACAAGCCTCGATCTTGGGAGCAATTATTGCCTGGTAGCTTAATGGTGGTTGAACGTTGGCTAATTCGCATCACTGTCGTAACTAGGTTATCTGAATCTTAATTATTATTGCAACCGCACCATCTGCAATAGATTGTCAATCTGTCTCATTAATCTGGGTTCCGGGTTTCCCAAAACCGAATTGACTTACATTCCTCGTTGGGATTTCACATACCCTCTTTGGCTAAGAAGATACCGTTCCCCTATATCTTCCGATGGTCTCTTTTATCTTACCCGTGATTTCTCTTCGTCCTTTCCACTTGTATTATCGATGGCGCGGTTTCTTTTGCGGGACGATTTCATTTCACCGTATTTCACCATATCTTTCTCCCATCGGTCGACTGGTTCCACGCACAGTTAATTCTTTTGCCAAAACTACACGCGCTCGCACATGTGCCTTGCCATCTGAAATTAGCGTGTGTATACTCGGGTATGCCCTCGATTCACATCGTTTAAGAATTATTCATATTACATTCTCCACTGCCAATACTTGTAATCGATTTTACATTCGGTACTCTGTCTGTCTTGGCATTTCATCATGGTCCCATGGTAACTGCATACTTTGCGCTTAGATGCGTTCTCATTGTCTGGCTACCAAACGGAACTAGATACAACAATCTGGACGCGGAATCAGCACGACGCCGTCTCCATGATCATTCGGCATTATTTTGTGAACAACCAACAAAACCTACCGTGGTTGTGCTTCTTCTAACCGACGCTTGACTTGGTGTCTCTAACGCTACCCTAAGCAACTAAACTAAGTCCGTTCGATCGCCATCTTTATCTGCTCTATATTCGTTAGGCTATTCCTAGTAGTTTGCAACTGGATCCATACGGACTCATTCTGAAATGTTCCTCCTTGTGCCTAGTCGAATTCGTTTTATTCGTCCAGCATCAATATATGCGTTGATCCCGATTGATTTGACCAAAGTCCTCATGATCGTAAAAATTTACAGCCCTGAAAAAACGACAAGCGAGGGTTCTCAACCAAACAACCGAACAGGCAAAGTATCATTTGACTGCTCTAACTCAAATGGGGTTGCATGTGGTGCGCCACAAGTGAATTCCCGCGGGACTTCGAAGTCGTATTCCTTATTTGGAGTGGCTCATGTCTGCTTTGTAGGTCAGTCCGTTGAGTCAAGGAAACTAATTGCAAACGCTCTGACAAAGTCAACTCTTTCACCTTGAAGCCCATGCCCAATGTTATTCCCTCTCCTGGCTCTCATTCCTTGCGAACCTCTCCCTCGGCCTGAATTATTTGACTAAGCTCACGACTGATTCCGCATTGATCCAACTGAATATGAATCTGCAGGATATTCAACTGTACGTCACATACTGTGTAACACAAGGCAATCATCATTTCAGTCTCTCTTTCTACAATTGCTTATTCTATCCCAGAATTATAGCCCTTTCCATCAAATTGGCTTGAGCTATTTGCTTCAACTTAGGGCGTTGACGATATTTATTATCTGATTTTTCTGCATTGTGGCCACAAACTATCAGGAGTCGACTGCGCCCGCAGAGGAACTGCGAGTGGCTTACATTGCATCACCCACCTCTCTGCGCACCCACTCCACTTGCACCGTAATTGCCAAGAGGCATACTCGGTGGCATGCGAACGGAATCCGCAATTGGTTCGGAGTCGGCTCACGCCGCACTAACAAGGATATCACTCATAGACAAATGAATCCACTTTCATTATCCTTTGAGGTGCTGACAACCCCTTGGGGGTCATAATTACAGCGTACGCCAGAAAACCAAGCGCGCATTTTTTCTTTGTTTAAGTCATTCTGGAGCGGTGCCTACTCTCACCCAGCAATGCGAAATCAAGTGCGCGAGGCGTGTCTACTAGATCAACCCAATATGTCTGCTCGACAGTGTCCCGTTCCATGGTGAAACTGCTTCGTATGCTTGGCGTCATCCCAGTATGCATAAACTCTCCCTGGGGATCAACATCTGGCGTATCCAGAAGTAGTCAACTTTCTTGCAGCTTAATGTTACACTCCTTTACTTGTCTTCAGTTATAAAGTATTCGGCATCTTTTGATACTTTTCTTAAGGTCCCTCTATCTTATGCTCAATACTATAAATCCTTGATCTCTCCAAGAGCGCTAGGCAGCGGTTTTGTCCCATTAGGACTTGCTAGTGAAGGTGCTTTCCTATAACTTTCATTTCACGAGTTAACGATCTGTTTCACCTAGCCATGGTTGACGATTGCTGACCACCACAGCCAGTTATTACCTGCGGTATGACACAGTTCATCTTACACCCTCATTCAGATTATGAACTTGCGGTGGAAAGGGCCGACCCCTAAAACAAAGACTTCCATCATTCAACATGAATTAATTACCTTATGATTCATGAGATTGCTGGCTATTGGAGAGTGGTTGGAGGGATCCTCTGTGTTTTGAGCGGTTGGCGATTAATCATAGTAGTCTTCTGTCGTGACTCAGCAGTTGGTGATCAGGCTTGTTTTTCATGTTTCCGTTTTTCTACCATGCAGCGCACCTCTACAGGACATTGAACCTTTCATTGCTGTTCTGATCTAATACCCACACTCAGACTCTTCTACACTTTCTAGTGATCAGGTTTTATCCGTCACTATCTACGCTTTCCACGCTGGTTTTCTAACCTGTATATAACTGAGAATTCGTTCCCACATCTCTTCTCTTTATTCCTTAGACGAATGAAATCCGACGTACTTGATCAACTACCTCCAAAGCGACGGGAACTGGTTGTTCTCGATCCGAGCCTTATCAAAGCTGGTCGCCTAAAACGACATGCCAAGATGATGGCATCCACTACCGTGACTGTAAGCACACTCAACCCAAATATTTCCCTTTCTTCAGGATGAAGCAAAACGTGCAGCGATGCTGCAATACTTCCACGAGACTGCTTCGGTCAAGCTCCCAGCTCTTCAGTGAGTTATCTGAATGCTGATTGCACCAGCTCTTGTCCAGTTCTCTTTGCTCGATTTTCACCCTTGGTTTCCATTGTGTCATCCCCTGTGATCGTTCCAGTGTGTTATCAGTAGTTGACTGAATTTTACGTATTCCCCATCCTCACTTTGCGATAGCTTCACTAATACCCACACTCGGTTTCTCATGCTGTAACTTCCAGGCACATCGAGCGGTCCGCTGATCGCTATGGAAGGTTTTTGGAAAAGATATGCAGGATACTCAAATTGGAACTATTTTGCCGAAGCAATGTTCACTCTACTCCGACTTACACGCTATCGCTGTGCAGACCAACTCACCAATTACTCTGACATTTTAACCACTTTAGGTAGAGCAGTGTGAATAAGGGTGTAGTGGGGGTGACTTAAGTAATCGACATGGAACTCATTACTGCTAAATTCAGTCAGACGGCTATAAACATCCCGTGAAGATATGCATGCAAATTTCGTCTGGACGTGCTGCTCGGTGCACATCGAGTGTCTTCGTCTTATCTAATACCCCAGTCATGTTAGCTGACCACATCCATATGGACTAGAGGCTCCGACCTGTGGTTACAGCATTTGTGCCCTTCCAATCCACTCCCTTATGAGGCTGATAGAATGCGCACTGCTGACCAGTCGCGGGCGGGCGAAATGACCGCCAAACCCTTTTTCCGTGTTAACTTCCGTCTGACTGAGTCTAGTTGTCGTTAATCATACGAAACATTCTTCTTTCTTCTTCCTGACACTGGAAAATCGACGTTACTAAAACCACACGAGGGTTGAGAGTGTCTCCGCTCCGACTTGGTTACACATCGGAAGCATACAGATTTGTTTTTTTTTTGAACCGGAGATCCTCTTCAACAGTAGTACATCCGTAATTTGAACTGCCATGCTGTCATAATGATCTACGAAATGATTAATACGAAGGAAAGGAGGTAGACCTTAGTGTAGAACGTAAATGTCCCAAGCAGACTTACATTTTCGCAGTTGGTGCTTTGAGACAGCCGATTCTAATCACTGCCTCTGGCCTTATGCTAGTGTAGTTCACAGAAGCGAGTCCTCAGGTGTCATATGTGTTTATGTGTCTTGACGGTTACGTTCGTCGGGTTGGCTGACGATATTCTATGATACAAAAAGCATAAATACTGGTTACTGTTTCGACTCACGAAAACCGATCTTCACTAGTTCGTCGTCCATTACCCACCAGGTTACGAAGCATTGCTGTCAATTCTGTACCACATAGCAAATTTTTCTTGTCCCGAGCCTAGAATAACCAATTCCATGTACACTCTATCACATTTTTGACTCTCACTGCTGTCGGGCAGTTTCCTATTTCAGTCCCAGGGAGCTTTCCGGTGGTACAGCTTCTGTCCGGAAGTACCCATTCGCTCTGATTGTTTCCTAGCTTCATTAATTCTTACAGTTTTTTTTCCACGCATGCTGTGCGTGGCGCGCACTTCACTGAACCGCTTTTTGTGAGACAATAGGCTACGAATTTGATTTATCGAACGCTAGGTTATCGTCACTAATCTCAAATCAACGCCCAATTTCACGCGACGTCCAAACTATCCACCCTCGTCACTGGGTCCGAACGGAGGCGCCGTACTTTTTATCGCTGTAGGCGATTCATTCCCTACCGTATTTCTCCTTTGTTTGACTGGAACTCTGATGCTTTCCACAGTCTTGCAGAATTAAGGGCAGTTGCCTTTCCACATAAACGATTGGGAATGGTAATCAATGTCGTTGAGCAGTGTTGTGCTTCCAGTCTGGATATCTCTACCTTCAGGTCGTCAACATCGGCAACATTACTTTCTTCCTTAGAAATCGCCTTATTTCCACTTTGCTCGTGCACAGCTAACTACGCACTCTTAACTGGTCTAGAGCGTGTACGAACTATATACTGAATGTGTTTTATGTCATCCATGAAAGGCACGTAGTATGTAGCCTAATGATAGGAGTTATTGTTTCAGAAGTTGGTCCCTCAGAGGCAATTGTGTATACAGGAACGGTAACTCAGCTAAAAGCACGGCATGTCGGACTCGTATGACGCATTGACATATATGTCGCTTGCAACCTTTCAAAGACATCGACGTTTCTGTGCAGACTGAGTTTCTCCCTCGACTCGATTACGCATATTCCGAGGAACTCACCGTAGCGCATACGAACATCGACTCATCAGCGGAACCGTATAGTTGAACGATTACGCCTGCTACGTCCAGTGATAGAAGACGTCAGCAATTCGTTTCCAGTTGTCTATCTTGCTCGTTTCTTGGATACATCTGTTCACCTTGATAGGGCAGTCCCATCAAGTCATTTGCAAGTAGACTATCATCTCTATTGCATCTTAACTTGCTTACCCTTGCTTGTGCTGAGTTATATGAGATAATGAAAGCTGTGAGTGTTCTTTCTTGTAACCGAAGCCGCACTGCGTCTTGGCATCCGACGACTGATTGCCTTAGTCTCACCCAAACTCCCAATTTTTAAATCCGTCAACAATTTGTTCCCTCTGCTTTCACACATTTTACATACTTCTCTGATGGTTCCTCATAGCTCGCGATTGTTCCCTTGGAGCACACCGACGAGTTCGCTGCGCCGGTATCCAAGACACACACCTAGATCTCCTGAAACAAAACGGTGGCACTCAGGCAACCTGTGGAGTCTTCGTGACTAACTGCCTAACCGCCTCGTTACCCCACTGCTTTGTCGCAGTCCTACTATATCGGTATTTTAAAGTCAATCAGTTTCTGAGCATGGAGCTTGCGAATGTGCCAGGTCCCACGCCTGTGACGAAGGGCTGCTCCATTAGTGGCGATGGATACCCACACTTCCATAACGAGCCCAAGGCCTCTTTACCGCAGCAAGTAATAGAGTTTAGTAGAAGGCCGTTACGGACTCAGACGGAGCTCTAATCGGCCCTTAGAAGAGAAAGAACGGCGTTTAGTAGCGTGGGTTTACTTCTCATTCGAAGCGGTTGTTCAGTTTGCCAGTTGACCTTCCTCGATGCATGATTTAAACGCTGGGCAGTATATGAAGGATCTTGGTTCATCGCAGTCCCATTCACACACACCCGTAGTCAGGAGCTGCCGCTCTAGAACTCCGTCAGTATTGTTTGCTTTGTTCTCCAATGAAACTTCACTCTTGATCAAGTCTAACAAAGGGATTAGAACATTCTAACCTCACCACCCGTTGCTTGTGATTCCGGAGAGTAGTTAAAGAGTGCACTCTAGTTGTCTTAAAGTGTTAGTGTACTTAGTAGCCGCCATCTTTCCGAATACAACTCGACGGTATCACGGCAATACTGTAAACCATATAACGATGACTAGTGTCTACCCTTTTGAGAAGAAACCGAATGTTTTGGTGGCTGACACCCGTTTACGTCATGGTTTTTTGTCCCATCGTTTTTAAATGTTACTCTTATACCTCAGTTGCTCATAGATGACGTTGTTTTATTGTTCTAGAACAACCACTTCTCAGAGCTCCTTGTCTCACATTTCCTCCTGACCATCATCGCATTTATTGATTGGCGGCCTACCCGTTTTTCCAGTCCTGATGAATCAAGATTTGCGGAACCCCCTGTCTCATTGATCAATACATTTCCCTTACACAGGCAATACTTGTCCGATCTTATCGAAACAGGCCGAAAAGTCATCTTGTACGCCCACCATACTGAGGTGCTTGACGCACTCAGCAGCTTGTTAATGGAAAAGGTGAGCTTTCCACGTTCACCTTTTTTTGACGCTGACGATCTACCGCAGTTGCAAGTTTCTTCGCTCAGTAGCACGATACCGCGGCAACAGGACACATACATTTTCCATGCCGTAAACTCTCATGTCCGCGCACTCACTCCAAAGCGCACTTGCATGCGTCTGGCATCACTATACACATTTGGCGATTTTGTTTTTTGTCTCCGTTGACAATAGCTACCCGTCGCGCTTTTACGGTAGTCGGACGATGGAGTTTTCATTGATTCAACTGTCTCACCCAACTCATTCGGGGAATTATTTTTTTCCCACTGGTTAAATGATGGTCTTCGTCCTTGACACACGATATCTCATGATATCATCTTAGAGCTGGTTTCGCCATCATCCATGGCCGAGTCCCGTAATTTGTTTCGAACTCCAAGTTTTATCTTCCCATATGCTTTCATTGTGTCGTCCTATAACTTTTGCTTATGCATCAACCACTGATAGAATCAATCTCTATCTTTCAACTTTTATCCAACCCATTGATCTTTTTGACAGTCATTTACAAATCTGCGCTATACTTCATCGTTATGTCTAACCATTCCTTTCAGTTTTCACTTTGGTGGATCAATCCACATTATATGCTTTTTACCGGAATCTCCAACGATAATTTGAGCTTAAATGTCTATAGCCACTAACTTTTAGAGTAAATGGGTCTGTTCAAATTTGAAATTACCTGCAATACAGCATTTCCGTAATTTGCATACAAATTCCCGTTGAAATGTTCTGGCTCAGACACGTCAATCAACGCTTCCGGAAAATATTGTAAGAGTCACTCATTTGGCGAAACAAATGAAGTTTGGAGCACAAATTTCTTTTAGTATCAAAACCTTAAGCGGGGCACTGCCTTAAATAGCCTATGACCCACCGCATCTTTGTTGCTGGCTGGGATACTCGATCCTGAATCGAACTTTGACTTCGTGTTTTCCGGTATTTCCGTGTTAAACATAAATTCACTATTTTTAAAGTGAAATGAAGCTTCGTGCCCTCATAAATAGCTTTTATCGCTGCACCTTGGAGCGGCATTCGGAACAGCTGACAACGCCGGCCACTTTTGCCCGATAAACTGTTAGCCTTCTTTTTCTTCTTTATTCAAAGTTCCAGAACATACTGGGTGCTCGGCACCCTTTCTGTCATGTTCCTTGTCCGCCAGAATTCCCATTACTCATTACTTGAGCCACTTTTCATTCCGTTCTATCCAGTCACCCTTCATCCTCTACTCTGGTGTCATAGAAACCACTTCGGTTTCTCTCGTATTGAACCTTATTTTCTTCATACATCACCGTATTTCGCCGCACGCTTTTGATTGTAGAGTGCCTATTAAGTGTTTGCATTAGGACACGCGATCTCGACTAGGTTCACGATTTGTTCTTTTGCTAATAATCGCCGTCATTCCGACAGCTAGGACAGCACCTGGAACACAGCGACATTTGAAGAAGGTCTGCTCTACCCTTTTAATTCCTAAGCCTGTAACTTTTCCAAGGTTCTCAAGAGTTTCTACTCAAATGTCACAAGCGGTTTTCATCATCGTCCTCATTTCGGTTGTGGAGACGTTTTTGCGAACTCGACAAAAGCTACCCCTACCCTCACTGTTCTGGGTTGTTTGTTAAGTGTGGTAGACAGGTTTGTTGTTCTTGGGAGTTGACTTAACGTCGGCGATTTAGCGTACTAGGTTTTTCACATTTTTCGGTTCTAATCATCTTCGCAAATATCTGTCACCTATAGCACCGACGTGACTTCAACCTTTATCTGAAATACGGTGTCTAACATGCCGTGCAAACGTTCATACTCTGGTTGAACGAAAGTTCAACGTGAATATGCAAACTTTGCAGTTGGTTGTGGTTGGATGTTCCCGAGTATCGAGTTGAGGATTCCAAAACCATTTAGTTGAAGACAATCTCGGCCAGAATCGAAATTCATTTCTAATCCTCTGCATAGTTTTTTTTATTGACGTGCACGAACGAATTGATGAGGTCCCCACTTTACTTATCAATAGGGAAACCATAGTCAATGGAACATGCTTGATAGAAAAAGCGGGGAAAGAGGACCGTATTGAGCTTAACAGCAATCCGAATTTGTGAGAAGACACGACGAATTTAGGATGAGTGGGAACAGCATCTTTCTGGGCCGAGTGTTAATGCAATACCGTCGCCATCATTGTTTCTTTGTTTGTCCAGCCAAATGGGATTAGCATTTTGGTGCTAAGCACATGATAACGTCCGCGGTGACATACGTTACCGTCTTGGTCATGTCATATAAGCTGTGGCCACAGCTACGATGTTTGAGTTCGATGGTGGTGTGTGACCCGTTCTGAAGACATTGTCAGACTGGGAGTTCGACTGGGGCGGTACATCGGCCAAACGGTTACACGCAGGTACCCTCAGGTGAGCTCAGTCAGGACGGAAACCTAGTGTGGAATAAGAGGGTAAAAGCTGACTTGATTTTAATTTTCGATACAAATACAATCAGTGGAAGCTTGGCCTATCGATCCTCTTGAATTTGATGTTCAGAGTTTAAAGAAAGTGGTGTTGGAAGAGTTACCATAGGTGTGACCTATTTGTGGCGGTTTGAATCTGTGTCGATGTGGTCTAACTTGTGGTATAATCAGCCGTCGTGCATCTGTGGGTGGTCGCGTCGCATCGAAGCATCAGTACGATGTGTCGTGTACAGCTGATGACTTGCATACCTACTTCCGTCACCTTGCCATCGCAATGAGGCTGGACCTTACCGTGGTGCGATGGTTTGTGTGCCTCAGCGATCCATTGAGTTATGCTGGGTGGTGCTTTTGCACCTTCAGAGTCACTCATACCAGATTGGTCAATGGTTAGAGGCCAGACAAACTCAGGGGTTGGAATGAGGGTGGCACCTTATTCCTTAAAACGGACTCCTTGTAGCCCACCGCCAAACCCGCTGCCTTGCGGTCAGGTTTTTGAACCAAAGGCTTTGGTTGAGAACCCTAATCGTTCTCCTGTCTAGGCCTGGGCAACCTGACAGTATCCTGCCCACGCAATACTATGAATCTTACCTCAAACAATTTCTTGATGCTCTGGCCACCGCAGAGGATAATCAACGGTGCCCTATCTACTGCATCAAGCAGGGTGGATAGGGGTTTGGATGCTACTGCTCAAGCCTTCCCGTCTTCTTATTCCCCCTCTTACGCTTTTTCACTCTTACCGTCCCCTTCCAACTTCACTTATATCCCCCCAGTTTTCACCCCCCCCCGACTCTTGGCCCTCCCCCAACTTGCTTTGCTAGTCATTTATCTTCTAATTTCAACTCACATGTGAACGCGGAGCGTCACTTCTCTCCTGTCGACAAGCCCATGTCCAACCAAGCGGTCCATTCCAGTTCATCGGCTCCCATTTGAAGCCGTCGATCCTCCTTCAGATTGGCATGTCTCAATGTACGCACACTGCTACAAATCGGTCAACAGGTAGCACTTGCCCGAACATTAGAGACCCTCTCGATCGATATCTGCTGTTTATCGGAGACCCGCCTGCATGACTCGAGCTCTGTGCTCACTCTGCGATCCCCTTCAGGTGAAGCAAGCAGTATTTTCTCATTGCGCCTATCCGGTGACGATGCAGCTTCGAGCACCGGCCAAGCTGGTGTTGGCATTGCCCTGAGTCCCCTGGCTGAAGCTGCTCTGGTTGATTGGATTCCAATCAGTAGCCGGATGTGTGCGGTCCGATTGGCTGGCTCGTTCTAAGCTTCGAAGTCACGTGGGACTAATAGGTGTCTATTCATCATCGCTGCCTACGCGCCCACAAACTGTAGCGATGATTCGGTAAAGAACAACTTCTACCGCCAACTGACCCAGCTCCTTCGCCACAGAAGAAGCGCGGACACTGTTGTGCTGGCGGGGGATATAAACGCACAAGTTGGAAAGTTGTCCACTGATGAAATGCATCTGGGCGGCCAACACGGTGTAGGCTCCCGTAATGATAACAGTGAGCGGTTACTTCATTTGTGTGAAGATGCTTGCCTATTTCTTGCGAGCACTAATTTCCGACATAGCAGCCGCCGGAGGGTGACTTGGCGCCCACCAGCCTCGGACCAGCCTTGGACGCAGATCGATCACATTGCAATCAGTTACCACTGGAGTGGCTGCATCCAGAATTGTCGCTCGATTTGGAGCACATGTGTGGACACCGATCATGCACTTGTATGTGCTGACATGCGGATGCGTTTTGGCGGATGCCCAAGACGATGTTGTGAGCGCATTGACACCGGCCAACTGACAGAGGCAGCTGTTCTGAATGCGTATCGAAGTACGCTGACATGCGAGTTTAGTAATCGCTCACTGGAGACAATTGATGGTCACTGGTCACATGTTCGCCAGACCTTACTAGCAGCAGGCAAATCCTCATGTGGTATGTCTAATAGCCAACATGGACATTGGGTCTCTTCTGGGTCTCTGGAACTTATCGACGTCAGCCGGCATATCCCGACTGGAAGTGAACACAATGAAACTCGCAAAGAGCTCCGTGCTAGCCTGGAGAGACCGTGAATCTTGCTGGTCGCATCGTGAATCAGAGATGGAAGCGGCCGCTGCCCTTGGCAACCATCGTAAGTTATTCCGTCTGGTACGGGAAACGGGCAGCAGGAGACCTGGTGTTAGTGCAACAATTTGTGATGAGAGTTGACAGCCTATCCACAACTTGTCAAAACGTTTGGAGCGTTGGGCTGATCATTTTGAAAAGCAATTTAATCGGCTAGAATTGTTCGATTCGCCGGTCACTGATCGCCCTGCTCCGTGGGCTGTCCCTTTGGATCCACCCTTTCGCTGAGAAGTCGAACATGAGATCGGACTGTTGAAGTTGAACAAAGCCGCGGGACCAGATGATCTTCCTCCAGCCCTCTTCAAATTCGGAGGCTCTGCTCTTGTTGATGCTTTACATGAATTACTAGTGAAACTGTGGGAGCAGGAGACTGTCCCAACCGACTGGAGCCGCTCCGTTATTGTTCCCATCTTCAAAGGCGGCTCGCGCTCGGAATGCGGCAACCATAGAGGAATCAGTCTGATCTCCATCGCCTCCAAATTACTCGCCTCCATAATTCTTCACAGACTGACTGGCCCTCTTGAAAGCCAGATTCGTGAGGAGTAAGCCGGGTTTCGTCGTGGTCGTGGCTGCATCGACCACATCTTCACCTTGCGTCAGTTGTTGGAACACCGTCACACATATCGGCGGCCCACCGTAGTCGTGTTCCTCGACATCAAAGGTGTCTTCGATTCGGTTGATTGATGTGCCCTTTGGAACCGTCTACTCAGGAAAGATGTGCCCGAGAAATATGTTAATATTATCCGAGCATTATATGCGCGCAGCACGAGCAGAGTGAAGGCTTACGGCAAGCTGTCGCCACCCTTCAATATCTCCAGCGGTGTGAGACAAGGATGCTCGCTGTCACCTTTCCTATTCAACTTCGCTATTGACGAAGTCATGGAGATTGAATTTACAGGACATGACTTGGAAGGTGTGGAGCTACTCCCAGGAGAACGACTTCTTGACTTGGAGTATGCAGACGACATTGCCTTCATCCGTGACAGTTCCCAGACGTGCCAAGCCGCACTGCACAGATTAGCACTGGCTGTCAGCCGCTTCGGGCTTTGCTTTGCACCATCGAAATGCAAAGCGTTCCTCCAAGGTTGGCAGGGATCGCCTCCTGCGCTGACCCTTGGTGGGGACCAGTTAGAAGTCGTTCAAAGATTCAGTTACCTGGGAAGTTGTATCAGCGCCCTTGGGATCGAAGACGAGATCACGAACCGTATAGCGAAAGCTCGAAGTGCTTTTGCTAACCTTCGCCACCTATGGCGGCGACGCGACATTACCCTCGCCCTGATGGGTAGAGTGTACAATGCAGCGGTACGTTCGACCCTACTGTACGGTTGCGAAACCTGGCCCCTGAGATCGGCGGACATGAGGAGGCTAGTTACGTTTGACCATCGGTGCCTTCGCAGTTTGGCTCACATCTGGTGGGAACACCGCATGAACAACGAGCGTGTTCGACGCCTTGTTTACGGCCCAGGAAAAGGATCTGAACCGCTCAGCACCGTCATTTAATGCACCAGGCTCCGATGGCTGGGCCACGTGTTGCGCATGCCAGCCCATCGACTTCCACGACGTGGGTTGTTTGCTCACCGGGGATGTGGATGGAAGAAGAGGAGAGGTGGCCAAGCGATGACTTGGTCCAGAGGAATGAAGTCCCTCACTTCGGAGCTGGCCTCGGTTATAGCGTCACGGCTCCCTGGTTGGGGTCCAAAAGACAGTGAACACGTTTGGCTGGATACACTTGTTGACATGTCAAGGAGCCGACCTCAGTGGCGTTCCTGCTGTGAGTTTCTTTGTCCCTCCCCATCCCTTTTTGCCTCCCCCTCATCTCATTTCTTAGCGTAAAACATAATATTTTTTTCTTTTTTTTACCTAGTAGCTGGCTGGTAGCTTACCGGAACGATGCCTATCCGTTGCTGGTAGCTCAGCTGGCATGCAACTGTCGTATTTATTTTTCCTTTATGTATTGTATTTATGTATGTATTTCCTTTATGTATTGCGGTACAATAGCGGAGGTGTTTCCCCACCTCTAGCTGACATGTATAATGATGATGATGATGATCCGTCACCTTGCGTCTTGTCTGCAGACGACTTGAAGGGAGTAATTGTATAGAAATTGATGCCCAGGCGACTGCGAATACTTCAGTATGACCTCGACCGCCTGTTCCTGTGGTCTTCAGATGTCGAGGTGTAGATCAACACAGTGAAGACGTCATCTGTGAGTCTGGGGAATGATAGTTATGGACCAACCGCTGCATCGCACACCGTCCGTACTCTTACGCTGCGATTTCAAATCCGTGAACAACACAAAGAGGATTTTTGTTCGTCGCAATCAGCCGACAATTCAGATATGTCGACCAGCTGTCCGGAAAAGCACCAGACGGCCGTTTCGCCCTATTGGGGCTCATCAGTGGTGCGCATCCTTCGGTCATAAGTAACACAAAGAGGCTATACGGAAACGGACTGCGCATGCTTTGTGCGCTAAAGTGCAACCTCTTCTCTTACATAGTGTTCGAGCGCGTCTCATCCGTTGCGAGTTGCATGGACTGAAACGCGTTCAGCATGTAGCTAGCAGGCCCACCCCCGTTTACAGGATATTCCTTAGGAAGATCGATACAGATGACTGGGCCTGTAGATCCTGTTGTATACTTCATTACGGGTGGACCCCATAATGAGTCACTGGCTAGGAAATCTGGGTAACTTCCCTATGCTGAGACCATGTCTGCACGTGCGCACACTTACACCACTCGCGGGCACCAGTACAAGCTGGTAGTAATGGAACTGAAGCGGATAACAGAGCCTCTATTTTTCGAACATTGACACCTTTTCTCAACTCATTTCATCGTTCCCCCCCCCCCCAAATGTTTGCATCGGTCTCGCTTGAAACCTCATTGCGTGCGTCATGTGACACGTTGCCCATGTGAACCCGTATGAGCCACACTCATGGAGTGAGTTCGCGACGTAGGATCCCGTGATCGCCTTGCCATCATGAGCATGGCCCATACGAGTGCACACGTGCTTGTCACAACGTACGCGATACAGCTTCAAGCGTGACCGATGCAAACATTTTGGGGAACGATGCAACGAATTGTGAAAAGGTATAGTGGTGAAATAGTCGAACAATTTACTCGAAAACATGATCGAAGCGAAATCGGTGTACGAAGTCGATATTCCTAAACACCCACTTTGCGGATTCCAATTTTTGTGAGCGCAACGCCCCTGAATCGGATGTCGCACAACTGAACAATGTGACAGTGCGCGTTAAAAATGTTATTCCGCATTTGGCCAATACTATGCTGACGGAGCAATCTGACAATTGGAGTTATTGACCAAATGCTCTCGAGGGCCCCTGGAGTCGAGATGGTCATGAGCAACGCTAGAGGTAGGCACTTATAGACTGCACGCCCAAGTCATACGTTGGTTGCCTCGCACTTTCAGCCAACGTCAACTCGCATAAACAAGACACGGGATCCTCAAGAAGTGGGTAAAAACAAACGCCTTAATGTAGCAGTTCAGCTTTTAATTCTGACCCGCTGCGGCCGCGCAAATTGTGCCCGGATTTTACATGTTTGGCAATCATCGTCTCTGGTGGTCTGCACTTATCACGCGGGAGGCCGGATGCGAGACAGTGCGGCGTCACGCTTCAGATATTTGATTTCCATCATCCCTTTGCCCCTTTGGGCACCCGCTACCTTACTACGATAGTACATTAGCCTCCCTCGCGGAACAGCCCGAGGTTTTGCTCATCTAGTGGATTCAGTACTGGATCGATTTGAAGCACACGTTTGAATTGATTGGGACAAGTCGTCTCAACCGGGACCACAGTTTACTTTGAAATGAACCTCACTCAGCTTGATCGCTGGGACTGTAACTGAAGCTGACAGGTGTTGGGTGTTACCCTCCAGTAATACTACACATCAAGATAGGTTCCACTCATCAAGTGGAGATAACAGGATTGCGATTCGAACCCGGCACATTTGAGATATCGGTTGCTGCCTGTCGTTAACTCACCGAGTCACTGCGAACACCATTTATCAAAACGGTCAGTAGTTAATTGAGGAGTCATTTCAAATTCTCCTTCCTCGTGTATACCAAGCACTGGGCTAGACAAGTAGACTAGGGACCTTCTCATATTCAACCCATTGATTCCTCTGCCTGCTCTTCATACACTTGCAAATACAGGCAACTGAATAGCTTCCATCAACGAGTATTTGGACTCCATGTTGTATCGATAGGAAATACAGCTTTTTGTGCTAACGGTGTTAGCACATGTATATGACGCTGTTAAGAGTTTAGTGTTTTTTACACCACATCAGTGCAATCCATCAAGTATTTCTACCCCATTGGTTCAACTCGTCGTGATCTTCACAGTTTAACCCTCCCCCTCAGTGTCTACCTGCAATCGATCTCCGCTCCGCATGTCTCTCGTCTTTTGTTTTCGCCTTTCTCGTTATTAAACTGTCAATATGTCAGCTGGATTGACTAGTTTTAATTATACTTCAGGTTTCTAGGCGCCGTGCAACGGTCTGAGTTGAGCTTCGCGAATGCTTTTATTTGAATCAGCTCCCCTTCTTTGTCACTCTTTCCACAGTCGGTGGATTTCATTCGGATCGATGGCAGAACCAATTCGGAACAGCGCTCCGTCGTGTGTAAAAAATTCCAACGCGAACCAACCTGTATGATGGCTTTGCTTTCGATCACAGCTGCTGGTACAGGTGAGTACCTGAACACAGTGACTTTTCTACCCACCTACCGTATCAAGAGGTGCCTCATTTTTGTCCACTATAATCATCATTTAAAGAAATTGCTTGTTTTAATCTCCATGCCACTTTCATTATACCATCCGTTAATACAGGTGTTTGTATTCTATCGGGCAAAACCTCAGCGGATGAACCTTTATTTTGTGCCTTCCTGTGACTACGACCCATAATCAAACTTGCCCACTACTTCGCCCATCAGCTCTCGCCTTAGCGGAATCCATTACCTTAATCCCTTTTCGTATATCATCTTCATGAACAGGTTCAGGGAGGGCGTGGTCTCATTCGATTTCCCGCTGAAACCTCATCGACAACAATAGAAGTCGCTCTCACTTTACATTGTTACTTTGCTGCCTTACATTTATACTTCTCCTATCAACGCGGAATAAAAGTAGCGGAGATGAAGGGGACTTAGTGTAGAGTTCTTTAGTCAATATTTGACGTCGTAACGCTCATACCTTGTCTACACTGCACAGTCACAGCCAGATCATTATCGTGCGAGGAAAAAGCGGCATCCGTGTTGCGTCTTCCATGAACTTTCCGCTTTATTTCATCAAAAGCAATCTTATCGCATTGATAACAGTGCCAGACATTCCTTGAATAGGTAGTTCGACAGCACTTATACCACTGGAGTCGCTCTCCAGCCATGTCCGATAATGTCGCAACGAGACTGGACCTTAACGTCGTGCGACGGTTTGCGTACCTCCTTAACCCACTGTGATATACTGGGTGGCGCTTCCGGGCCTCTTAAGGACTAATCCTACCAGTTTGGTCAATGGTCAGAAGTCAGACAAATCCAATCTCCTAGTCCTCCCGACTAGCTCTGAGCACAATGAGACCAGACAGGTTATTAGGCGTGCACTAAAGCGGAGTATTCCTGCTGACAGGGAAGCTTGGTAGACCAGTCAGGCTGTAGAAATGGAGGAGACAGGAGCAGTAGGTAATTGCCGCAAGTTCTTCCAGCTGATCTGCACTACCGGTCCCAGGGAACCAGGCATCAGGGAGACAGACAGAGACAGTGCCGGTGCACTGATACACAATAAGGATCGCTGTACGGCTCGTTGGGCGGAGCACTTTTAAGATCATTTCAGTTGGCCACCTGCTCCCGGACCTATTCCTACTCAAGTGATGCAGGACGAGGCATGGCCGGTTAGTTTAGAGGCTCCATCGGAGGCTGAGGTCCGAAACGCGATCACTACCCTCAGTGGTTTTCGTGCGGCTGGTTCGGATTCCCTCCCACTTGCACTATTTAAGGATAGAGGTGAGGTTCTCTGCGAAGCACTGACCTCCCTGTTCGAAAATGTCTGGAAGGAAAAGAGTGTCCCGGCAAATTGGAGCGAATCGATTATAGTGGCAATATGCAAAAAGGGCAATCACACGTACTGTTCTAACGCAAGTTGTGACAAAGTTACTGGCCTCCATTTCCGTTCGTCACCTCGCTGTGAAACGAGAATCTCGGAGTAGGGAAGAGCGGGCAAGTTTTCGCCAAAGAGGTGGCTTTATAGACCACATATTCACTTTGCGGCAGTTGCTAGAGCAGCGCCACACGTATCGCAGACCGACAATAGCTGTGTTCCTCGATTTCAAGAGTGCGTTCAATTCAGTTGACCGATCTATTCTGTTCGAAGTACTTGCACTGAAACATGTTCCAACGAAGTAAGGGAACATTCTACATGATCCATACTCGAACACTACAGGCCGCGTCAGGGTTTACGGTGACCTGTCGGATGGATTTTCTACAACAAGTGGCGTTCGTCCGGTATGCCCGATTTCTCCGTTTTTGTTCAATTTCGTCATAGACTCTGGCGTGGAGTGTTCATTGACTTTGTGGCTTTGCCTGGTTGATTATGCGGACGATATTTCTTTCCTTTTTGACCATGTCGTGGCGGCACAATTAACCCTGAATGACCTCTCTCGAGTGCTTCCATTATTTGGTATGCGCTTCGCACCTTCAAAGTGCGAAGTGTTGCTGCTGGATCAAAGTCACCTGATGACCTCTTGACCCTTGATAACGACGAACTCGAGGTGGTTGATTCGCTTACCTTGGCAGCTGCATCAGCAATGATGAGCGCATAGCAACTGAAATCAGTTCACGGATTGTAGAAGCCAGAACTGCCTTCTTGAATCTGCGGCATCTTTGGCGACAGAAGAGAGTTTCCCACCATTTGAAAGGCGTGTATACAAGACCACTGTGAGGACCGTCCTACTTTTGGAAGTGATATGACTCCTTCGGTCTGATGATCTGAGGCGCCTTCAAGTCTTTGATCATCGTTGTCTGTGGAGCATTGTTGGTGTATAACACCAGCATGTGCGCAACGATGATGTGCATAGATGAGTACTAGTTAGTGATAGCTGAGCTATTTCCTTGGAACAACAGAAAGCACTGAATAAGTTACGTTGGATTGGGCACGTGCCACGTATGCTTAATCACTGCTTACCTAGGATGTTCTTGTTTAGTCTGCTAGATGTAGGAGGACGCAAAGCTCGAGTTGGACAAAAATTGACTTGGCAGCGGGAAACGAAGTCACTGACGACCAAACTGGGTACTGTCTGTCCGTCTCGCCTTCTGGCTAGAGTGCACATAAACCACCTTCTACTGGGCTACAGACTTTACAGGACATTTCTTGCAGCCGACATCAGTGGCGCGTCTTCTGCCGTCTCCTAGTCGGACTGCCTGTTTAAATTGTGTTTGGGGCTGAGTTATCTGGGGGTTATTGGCTGATTATGACACGAGGCAGTGAAGCCGCAAGGAAGCTGTCTGGCCGATGCCGCTTTATCCTTGCATGATATCCAGCTGTTTGTGACGGTTTGTTATTAACACAAGGTGTAAGCGCCTTTACCCTGAACATTTACTTAGGATATTAAGGTTTTCCGGTAAGTCCCCCTTCTCTCCGTCTTATTATTTTTCGTTCCGTAGGTCGTTATGGTTGTATGGCGACGAAGCATCAGTCCAAATGACTGATGTACCGCTGTTGTTAATAGATTGACGGAGTGGATGGCTTTATCCTAGCCAAGAGCACCCAGTGTAGTCATCAGCAGCGCCATTCTCCGCTCCGAGATGAACTATTACATGAGATATCGCTCATGTGTCACCAATGTGCTCGTGACGAGTCTCGAATGGTTGCAGGCAGTGAACAAGGGAATGGCGGTTGACGTCATTTATATCGACTGTTTGACTTTTGCAAACCTCTTAACGGAGATTGTTATTTACCTTAATCCGGCTTTGAGGCGACAACAATTCAAGTAATCCTTGGTGGTTTTTCATTTCGCACTATCGTCAGCGGCTCTTACTCAGGATCAGCGAAACTGTTTGCACGTTGCAACGAACTTAGTTACTCAACAGTGCACCGCTCACTGAGGTGCAGTGGATTCTGTCCTTTTGATCCACTTTCTCATCAATATTGGCAATACCAACTGTAATGAAGTCATTTGATACAAAAGGGCAACTTTCACTACAGTCCCTGCTTCACACAGTACTTTTCTAGCATATTCATGGAACCCAGAGTTCCCGATCGCCTCTGTAACAAGTGCCTCTAAAAAACACCAAGCTCTGTATTATTCTTGTTCGCTCCGGTATTGCGGAACTTTTTTTCATGCTTTATGTTAGTGTTCGGTTGTGATCATTTGTAAATATTACGCTTCCGTTTCATTAGGTCGCTGCTTGAGTGACTGAAGGTTCATTGAGTTAAGACATGTTTATGCTCGTTTACCAATTCTACAGTCTCGTAGTGCATTGAACTGTCCCACTGATTGTTCTGGCCGCCCATTTGTCAATGCACTTTTTGTGTGAGAGTCTGTTCTAAACGTCGTTGTGTGAATAGAATGGCGGGAGTAGGGCTCTCAAATGCTTGCCGAGCGATCTTAATCCGGCCAGCCTGATGATCATCGATGAGCGGATCCGGTTGTAAAGCGAAACAGGACTGCCCATCGTCCCCCCTGTGAGCTTATCCGTCAACGCCATGATACACAAAGAAACCACTAGACTATTTCCAATGTGACTGAAACACTTAAGGTGACCTCTTGACCTGTGACTGTACTAATCCCCTATCTCACGTACTTATGGTCGCGATTATCCTCACTGTTCACCATAAAATGTCGCTCCAGTTGTATATTCTTCCACCTGGCCTGACGAAGATTTCGCGTCAAAAGCGTAACCTCGGCCAACACATGGGCCGACTCATTGTTCCTTAACTTCTCTGAACTCTTGAGTTCTCGCTTGGTTCCATGTATATTTCGCGATTTTGAAGTCTTGCCCAAACTTTATTTCCTTTATTATTAACATTAATGAACCATAAAACGATGATGATTGTTATAACCTTAATCTCTTGCACACGGCCAAGCATCCGTCCCCAGTGCAGCGTATTCCACCGTGTTTGTTAATTAAATGCGATATTGACATGACATTTTTATTTCCGTTTTTGGTAGCCTTTGGTTATGTAATTTTCCTCTGTCACACTATTTTACCTGTTACACAACACGGGTTTTTACTCCATCGTTTCTGCTATTGCTTGCGATCTGCGAACATGCAGATCTGTCGTTCTGACATTGGCTCTACCTCTCTTACCCATCCCCATCCAGGTCTCAATTTGACAGCCGCAAGCCTTGTTGTGTTTGCCGAATTGTTTTGGAATCCGGGCGCCCTCGTTCAAGCCGAAGACAGAGCGTATCGCATCGGACAACAGGATTCGGTTCTGGTTCGCTACCTACTCGCCGAAGGGACAGCAGACGATTATCTTTGGTGAGTGGTACAATGAGGCTACAAAAACATTAACAGATTACTCTCAATGGGGGTACTCAGCGCCTTGCACTCGTAAGCTACTTCTTTATCCCTGTTTGTTAAATCAGAGGACCGTGACCAAATCAGCTGGAATTAGTTTAGATACTGCGCCGTTATTTACATTTGAGCCTTCCGGAGCAAATACTTGTGCAAACGCTTACTCAACCCGATATCGCAGCGTGTTTTTTCCTTTACTTGTATCTTGCTGAATATGCACTTTGAACGCTTTTCTCTCCCTACGGATCTTTATATTGCTGTTATATTCCCCATTTCCTCCGTTTGCTTTTCTTGTTCTGGAGGCATTATACATCAAAAAATCGGCTGTGGTTGTGTGAATTTTCTAAAGAAATACACGGATACTGGTGCGTGGCAGCCTTTCATTGCGCCCACTTATTTCTCATCGACTTAAAAGCTGCTCCATCATCCTGTTTGTCATTCCTACTCTATCGACCGGCCGCTGCTGTCTATTACGTTATTTTTCCGTGTCCGCAGCAGTTGGGTAAACATCACTCACTCACTGTACTCTGCTTCGTTCCTCCTCCAACTCATCTTGTTTGTTCACGTCTTCCCCTTTTCCTCAAAACATTTTGAGTCCGATTCGTTGAATTCACTTGGATCGTAGTGAAATACAAAAAGGACAAAATTTATCGCCCGCACTGAGACGTAGTGTGTCATTTTCCCCCCTATTCATCGAGCTACCCGCCCATCGATGACTCGATCACCACCACCGTTGTTTGTTTAGTTCAACCGACTGCGTTTTTCACGGCGTCCCATCGAAAAACTCTCATCCTGACGGCTATCATGTCATTTTCATTGGTATCGCCTGCTACCACATAACCACAGCAATCGTTTGTCCAGCTGTGGTCACCAAAGCAGCTGTTGAGTCTCATTGCGCTGCATAGCCAACTACAGATGATACCACTTCACACCCTATTGTTTCTAGATGTCATGGGTTGTTATGTCTCCTCTAGTCCAAAGAAATTTTGGGCAGTGGTTTTCAGTCCCCTAATCTGCATCACCATGCAATACTAATCCAACGGTCCACTCACAATAAACTAAACAGGGACTCCTATCCGCTGTTCACACTCGTATATTTTGCTTGGCATTTCGAAATGTACACTTGACTGTTTACATCCCACCCTTTTCCTAATTGTGCTTAGTGAAGGATGCCTAGCTTCCTTGGAGGCAGAGTCTAGTGTTTCTGAATCTTTTTTTTAATGAATCCAACTGCCTACTTCACCGGACGTGATGACATCGATTAAACGAACCTCGCACACTTTCCCGCCATTTTGGTGCTGTCACGCTAATAGGCATTATGGACACCTGTCTGGGGTATTCGTTCCTCTGCAGGGGGCTAGCTGTGCATTACTCTCTGGCTGGTCACTCTTGACATCAGCTGCATCCATCAGACGAACTGACCAGCTGTCGATCCCTTTGCGAAATTCCGTTTTTTATTCACACCTCCGTGGATCACTATTTACACACCATTCGATAAGCGTTAACAGCTGTTTCGTGAATTTCATAGTACGTACCATTTGTTGCGGTAACTGGTCCACCGGAATCCACCACCGACCACGCGCCACTCGTGTGACTTCGCTTTTATATTCTTACCTTCATTATGTTCGAATATAGACGCTTTTAGCACGTACCCCAAGCATCGCCATTATCAACACTATGTATTTTAGCTGGAGGTCTTCAAACAGCTCAGCTGCTTTCACGTAGAGTATTACATGAGGTATATTTCCCGTGCAGTACGAAGCTTACTCCTCAACTCATTGACTTTCTATGCGTCCGAGGCAAGTGAAGTCAAGAGTTTGCTTTTTGCACCCACGAAAAGTGGATATTCAAATGCAACTCACACGCTATGGGCAACGATAACTAACGTAATGTAATGCTACAAGAGGATAGGTGTCAAACTTCCGTTACCATAGGTTCCTTCTCATTGCACAACTCATACAACCGTAAGACTACTAACTTGATATCGCAATGGACTGCCCACCGGATGCAAAGTAAGGTAACCAATTGATCTTGAGAACGAAGCCCTGTTAGCGCAGTGCTGAGGCAGTATCACTTACAATTCAGGCCCATTACATATGTGTTCCTCGATTTCATTGCCGCTTTCTACTCAATCACGTGCTCCATTCTGTTCGGTGCACTTACTCACTAGTTTCCCATAGCTTATGTGAACGCTACGTACCATATACTCGAACATTCCTGATTGTGTCTAGTTTGGTGATACGTTGCTGGACACTTTTCCGATATACATCTGGGTTGTCCCACTTCCCCATCTCCACTCAGGGTTATCGGTAACTTCAAACTTCACGATGCAGGTATTGGGGGCCGGCCGGGGTAAAACTGATTGGTCAGAATCAGGCGAACGGAATCATCTTCCTGTTTGGCAGACCAGATTTTCTTCATCTTGTATCGTGCGCATTTCACTTTCAGCGTGATCGTTTCTTTAAACGATCGCTAATCACTTGTAAACTCACTTTAATTTGATAACGAGGAACTGAATCCTTCCGATCAGCCTAGTCATCCTGGACGCTGAAATAACATTGAACGACTTGTGGTTGTTAAGATTTTGTCGTACGTTATGAATTCTACAGCTGTTGCCAATCTGTGGAGCATTCGGCGTCAGCATAGACTATCCCTCGGTTTTTGATACTCCAAGCTTGTTCACATCCAGTGTGAAGCTAGCTACGGTCCAACCACCGCTCTGTGTACGTCGGTTATGCATGTTTCCCCCTGTTCAAGCCAATGGTCTATGTATTGCGAGTATGTTGGCCGGTTTCGGATCAATCGTAGCCATTGTGTGAATGCCGCATAGCCTTTCTTGTTTGTGGTGCATGGATGCAGCTGTGCTGGGTGTTACAACGCGCATCACGCCTGGCCCCTCTACAGACGCAGGCGTTTTGTGGCTGTTCGCAGTCACTGTTGCATGCAACTGGGTAAGTGAAGCTTCCAATCACACGGTGTCACAATGAGAGCAGCTCCTGTTTATAGCATTGTGACTGCTCCTTTGATGCAAAGATCCCAAGCGGCTTCAGCCTTTTGACGGTTAGTGCTAAAAGGACCTTACTGGTGTTTGTTCGAGTCATAACCATAGGGTGTGCAAGCGAGTACTGGTCATTGAGGATCAGGTAAATTCTTTGGATCAGGGACAATTAAAGAGGCTGGATATGTTGCATTTGATCGAGCATGTACTATTTGCACCGCTTCGTCTTTTACTCCGGTAGGCTTTGTCTGGGTTACTTGCTGCTGTTAGACATTGCGATACTCGATGGAGTCAATGGTTGACCTAGTGGCGGAATATCTAATCTCTCACCCCCGCTTTGGATATTGCTAACAAGTGTCCACGGGATATTCGTACCATGCTTCACATCTTACGGGAACTGGTTCACAGTCGCACTGACGTTGCATGGACCAACCCTTTCTAATCGAGTTACATGCCTAGGTTTACCTGTTGTAAAGTTTTCTGCGATTTAATGCCTATTGTGAAGCGAGGAAGTGAAAGCCCTTGCGTAGCTTTCTCACTCTTCTTCTCTCTCTCTCGGATGACGTTTTATTTCCACACGGTAGTGATCTGTCTGTGCCATGCAGTCTTCGCATTTTATAGACCTCTTCGTTTTGAGTGTTCGCCGATGCATCTACCTCCTACCCAGTTCTCTGCTGGTGTCCCACGTTTATTTTACAATTCTGTCGTCACGATTGCTCCTTCTGCATTACGGCTAAGCTATAATCCTAAGCCTCTTAAGACTCTTTCGCCTTCTACCCAGTTCGGTTTCATCACGCTCCTTCTGCTATGTTGATTCGGGTACCGACCATAATCCCAATATTTTACCTGCGACATAAGCACTGCCGTGTTGAGCATACTGAACGCTAGTTCTCGTCTCGCTTAATGCAGCGCTTTGAAGCTTTATTTATTATCAAATTTCTGCGTCTTCTTTATTTCAATATAGATGTAATCAATCCCCCGTTGTAGGTCCTTGATTGAGAAGAAATTGGATGTCCTCGGTCGAGCCGGCCTCAATCGCGAATCTTTTCGGACGGCCGACACCACTCGATTGGGGAATGTAAGCTTAATATCTATGGTTTTCTATTTAACGTGTTAATGTAGCGCATCTTTCCTGAAGTTCATCACACCTGGGTCCGGTTAGACAACCGCCACACATCTGACAAGGCTTTGGACTGCCTCACCGTTTTCTTGGAACATTTCAGTAGTTCATGTGCACCTTGTTCGTTGAGGCGCTCTAAACCTTAACTTTGCTTTCGCTAGATAGCATTGGGAATTTGTATCCACTGCAGATCAGTGGATTTAATCATTGTCCCACAGTAGCATGACAGCAGTGTTGAGGATCCCATGTACCCTCTGAAATGATGTTTATCGATGAATCCTGTAATAAAGAGACTGCGCTCTTCTGTATTTCTGATGTCTTATTTGGTGGACTTATGTGGGATTTCATTTAAACCAGCCAACTTCCAAACCCTCTTGTTAAGTTTGTTGTTGTATTGTTGTCGTGAAATCTTGTTTTATGGCATGATTTCTCTTCTTTAGAACTGTTGTTAGCTCCTCATGGATGCCACCGCCCCGAGCTCTTCCTCATGACGTATGTTAACTGGTTTTCAACGACCGAAAGTCGAGTGCTACTCGGGCGTATTCCTTTGTTAGAGCTGTTGGAATCTTATCTGGTTGTGTTAATGTTCTGCTCAACAAGCTGTTCTCATTGGGCGCATTTTTTATTTACCATTATCACTCGTATACTTTTCAACATCATAAACTGCAACCGTATGAAGCTCTTTTTTGATAAAAGGACGTTTAGTTTCCGCAACACCACAGACGTCAGCATCAAGGTGGAGTTGCTGGGTGAAGGTGTTGTTCGACAACGTTAGCACGAGAGAAATCGTTTTTTGACTTTTTCTGTTATTATTCGTTTTAAATTTAACATTATATAAGAGTAAACTAGTGGAACAGCCACAACCGATTTCTATTACAAATCACAGCATCCAAAACCTCTACCCATTATGTGTTCGCACCACTTAAGAGACGAGGTTGCCTCATTTGGTGTCGAGCATGATGCAACGTTCTGCCTGCCATGTTTCCTGGTTCATCGGTTACTCGTTGTACATTTCTTCTAGTCTCACTTCAGAAAACTCGGTAGACGACCGGTTAATGTAGTTATAGTGATAGACAACGTTTCGCTTATGACACAAAAGCTCCATCAGGCGAAGTGAATTATCTTAACATAGGCATCTTATAGCGATCATGGCTAAGCTACATACAGAGACGAATCAATTTGCAGTTCATCAATGAATGATTACAGTGGTCAAATGTCAATATGTTCGTGGGTACACTGTAGTTTGTTTCAGTCAGGGTCAAGTGGGGAAAAGAAATTGCAGGTCCGCGGATAGTTACATGTGTGGTTAGCAATCTTAACTGAACCGTTGCAAGGAACTTGCACATTGATAGAATTTGGCTTTAGTACTTCGGCATTCGGTGAAGGGTAGGTCGATAGTTCATTCCGATTTGGGATCCATCCACCGATGCTTATCAAGCTGGCCGGAGTAAGACTGGACGCCAAGCACTAGACAGCCCTACTCCGTCTATTCTATTCACGCAGTTGTTAGCCTTGGTTATTTCTATAGCCTCAGCAATCAGCCTTTGTTTGGCTGATCGTAATCCCTTCCTGATAACCTCCACATTTTCGAAGTCAATTTTGTTCCCCTTGTCAAGCACATCCATTGCTATTGCCGAATCACTGAGTAGAGCTCCATACACTAGCTCATTTCGCGGAGGTCGTGATATGTGTCGCATATGTTCTGAAATCATTGTACGTAATTCCCTCGCTGTTTGGCCTATATACACTTGTGTACAATCTTTACATGGAATTTTGTAAATACAGTTAGTTGTTCTATCTAAAGGGATTGAATCCTTCAGATGCACAAGTGTAGACCGTAGCATTCGACCTTTCTGGAAAACTAGCCTTATCCTCTCCTTATTCAGTACTCTCCAAATCGCTTCCGTAGTCCCATCTTTATACGGAATACCCACTGTCGCTGTCCACTCCGTGGTTGGTGTTGCGCATGCATGCGCAGTGAATGCGCTAGACAAGGGGGACAAAATTGACTTCGAAAATGTGGAGGTTATCAGAAAGGGATTACCATCAGCCAAACAAAGGCTGATTGCTGAGGCTATAGAAATAACCAAGGCTAACAACTGCGTGAATAAAATAGACGGAGTAGGGCTGTCTAGTGCCTGGCGTCCAGTCTCACTCCGGCCAGTTTGATAAGCATCGGTGGATGGATCCCAAATCGGAATGAACTATCGACCCACCCTCCACCAAATTCCGAAGTACTAAAGCCAAGTTCTTCCAATGTCCAAGTTCCTTGCAACAGTTCAGTTAAGATTGCTAACCACACATGTAACTATCCACGGACCAGTAATTTATTTTCCCCACTTGACCCTGACTAAAACAAACTACAGTGTACCCACGAACATATTGACCTTTGGTCGCTGTAATCATTCATTGATGAACTGCAAATTGATCCGTCTCTGTATGTAGTTTAACCATGATCGCTATAAAAAGCCAATGTTAAGATAATTCGCTTCGCCTGATGAAGCTTTCGTGTCAAAAGCGAAAGGTTGCCTATTACCATAAATACATTAACAGATCCTCTACCAAGTTTTCTGAAATGATGGCTTCCCGATCGGTTCCAACTATTCTTACAGTCTCATCTAGAAATTGTCAAGTATATCGGATGTTAAGAGCGATGGGCTGGCATACGTAGTATGTGGCCGAGTCAACTTATGTGGGTCTGGGGAACAACATCCTGGAGGTCGATGCTGTTTGTTTTCGAATGCTCAGTTTCTAATTTTTATACTGCTTCCATCATGCTGTCACCACAAACGAACAGTCTTTCTCAAGTAGCGGTTGTAGAACGCTAACAAATCCTTTGAGCGGACAAACCAGGTGTCGGCCATACATAAGGAATTCAATGTCAGTGGCATTTTCCACCCTGTCCTTAAGAATGGCATCACGATGACGCCACAAGTGTTTCTTGTTAACATATTGCCGGGGAACTTCATCTCCAACACTGCCACTAGCCGTGATGCAACTCCCTAGATGAGAAAAGCTGTCAGCCTGCTCCAGATTAGCATCCACGATTGTAAATGCATTTGAAGCTACTTGTCAATCCTGGAGCAAGGCATTACACTTAGATGAGGCATGATACAGACTGTATTTCGACACATATCACCAAACAGTTCCAATGGCGTTTTACGGCCTGTGAATCGTCCTCGATTGGTGACGAAACGTTTGCAACAAAATTGCCGTGCTCAGCGAACAGTTCAACCGCCATCTGAACAACCTGAGCTACCCGTCTTCAATTCTATAGAATCATCGCCTATTAATGCAATGTCATCGGCCTAATTTGATTGAACGACCCGTAGAAAGAAGGCTGGCCAATAGTAAGAGTGCTTTCACTGATTCAACCAAGGCTTTCTGTACCTTCATATTTATAGTTCACTAAAACAGTACTAGATGGATAAACTGTGCGAAAAGGCGTTCGTTAGTTGGCACTTGAGTTACCATTTACTGACCCTATCTTTCGACCAATATGGTTAGGGGTTAAGACGTTAGACACATCACAGTTGCTGAGGGTGCTCGGTAGCTAAGGCATTGGCATGAACATAGCCCATGAGGCAAACTACTGACTTGGGGAGAGTCCGTTAGATTCATTGGTGACACTGGGTCGAGTTCAGTGGGAACTGTGCGGGAAACGTTGGTCGCTTTTCACTGGGGACAACTCAAATGTGATCTACGCAGATGAATGGACTCTTGGCGGCAGTTCCAGTTGGGTGAGTCCCGCTCTGATTTGAATAGTTTAGGTCTCTGCATAGCGGCCGTGGTGTTGGGGCCCGATAGTGTACTGGCGCCGGTGGATTCCGGATGAGTTTGTCATGACTATGCCGGCTCAGTAACAATATGCTAGGATAGGGTGTAACTGACGGTGGTTGAGAAAGTCCGCCTCCGCATCTCTACGGTGGAATATCATGGACAATTGCTATGAATTTCGGTAAAAATAGCTGAAGTCCAAGAAGTCAAAGTACTCTGTACTCCTGCCATTGTTGGATTACGTGTTCCTTCTCGGGTTGTTTTGTTTATTTGATGCGTAGATGGGTTTCAGCAAGCGATCTCAGTTTGAAATGGTCTACTTGGAAGGTGTATTGTAATGAGTGCGCTGTTAACATCCGAACTCTCCCCTATGTAGCCTGCATGTCGTACACTCAACGGGCGTAACGTGAGCACTTGACCAGGGGCACGCATATTCGGAAAAGTAATCGCCTCCAGCTCCGGGATAAGTTTTTCGATCATCTTATCAGTCGATCGAAAAGCATGTGTCCAATCACTGATCGGTAGTAAGCTGCAGCGCTCGCGCACGATTGACAGGGGGAGAGAAAGAAGTGGCAGTGACGCATGCACAGAGAAAGTAAACCTTGGTTACGTCGATCATTTGGGTCTTAATTACAACTGCCATCGGTTACTCATTGCTCGCTTTTAGTACCATGCCAAAATTGGCTCCTCCCCCCTCTTATATTTTCCTCGCAGAAAGTTCAAATCGGAACTCAAAACCCAGCACGTAGAAAATACCGGTAGCTACTTTCGCCTATATCGATAATGCGTATACCAACTCTTCACCTTTTGTCGATCCTACTTTGTTTTTGGTTTTTGCCATTGCTCCCACTCGTTCACCCAGCATCCACGTGTTTCATTCCAATTTCGTGCAGCTACCTTGGGGTCCGCTAGTTGACTTCACTCTACTTGTCATGTGAGCCGCTCATTGTATCCGCCTTCGACGAGATATCTTCCTGTTTGTTATTAGCTTTTCTTGCTTTCGCGCCTAGTGTGTTTAGCCTTTATCGCGTCAAACCTTTCTCATATCATCTCCAAATCCTTCCCTGTTCCTGCATTTCAGAACCCAATAGCCATTCAGCCTTCCATTCTGAACTACTTCGAGAGTGAATTGCTTGCTGACGACAACGGCGATGCTATAATTGCCGGGATCGAGGAGCCATCTGTAACTGACTCCTCTCCAGTTTTTGAACTGGAGCCCAAACGGAGTAAGATCGATGTTCCACGCAAACAGACCAAAGTCACCAACTTGTTTGAACAGCCTAGTGGGGAGCCTACACCCGCCCCGGATATTTTCCAATGCTCCGGTCGTGTATTGGTCTCTGATACTCCGGAAGCTAGTCCAGAAAAAAGTGCTCCTACTACGGGTTTTCTTCAAGATAAAGAATTGGATTCACACACATCATTACTATTGGACAGTTTGCGGGATGAAAGCACACTGACTATGAATGATGATGAGACTGTTCTGCTGGAAGCTGCAGTTGCGGCGGAAGTTGCGTGGCTCACCGAAGGGATTGCTTCGGAGACTGGTACCGACGAGTTTGGCTGATCACTAGTTCAGACGAGTCGCATCGAACTCCTGCCTAACCTGATCAGTATTTTGAGCGGGCGTCTGTAAATTTTCCTTTGCATTGTACATATTCTTCCCTCCGTTTAATTTCTTCTCGCTGCCTCCCGTTCCCTAACTCCTGGTACCGCAACTTTTCAGCGTATCAACTGTTTTCGCCACAATTGCACTGACCAGCATTCTGTTTGTTCGCTTCCTTATCCGGTGAATGCCCAATTCCCTTTGCTAGTCTGTTGCCTGTTTCCGGCTACGGTGGTTTGCGGTTATTCAATTCCCTCTTTACTAATTCAAAGTACACTGTTTTGTCCCCACAGAGATCACATGATCTTCACACAGACGAGTACTTTTTCTGCTTTAAGTATAATTCTCAGAACGCGTTCAATTGTTCTATGAAACTGCTGGTCAGTTTGCTGTGTCCATGCTCTGTTACTAGACACTTCGGTCCATTGCACCTCGATTAGCCCCTTGCTTGCGCTTTGTCACCATGGGTACGTAGATGGACTCCCAGTCTTTCCGCTCTCTCTGATACCGCTTACCATACATCTCACTGATTATTGGGAATTCGCTTAAAAATTCACGCCCTATTGTTCATCACTCGAGTGTATCATTTGAACAGTTTTGTTTTGTCCTGTTTTAAGGTCACGCTGCCTTAATTTCTTTGGTCTCCAAGCTTGGGTGTAACGTTGACTTTTCCGCCATTTTCCTCGTCACCTCAGTTGACAGTGTCACATTCGACTAGGTGTCCAAAATTCCGCATCTTTTCACCTTCCCCCTCAGTTTCTCCGAAATGGTTGTAATTTTACGTGGCTAATCTTGTTGCACAACGTAACCACTGTCGCATACCCACCTCGCTTTGCACCCGGTTCACTCACGGCCAATATTTGCTGTTCTGTATTCACTTTGGAGCGCACAGAAATATGTGACAGGTCGGAAATATGCCATACTACCTTATAATCGGATCTCATCTGTGTCTCAAAACCGGTGCCGAACTTCTTTACTGCAAGTGTTAGTTTCCAACCTGTTCGAATCTAGCCTTGAAGGGTAACAAACGATCCCTTTATTACGTGGGTATATAGAATTGTCCAACTGGTTGTTACTTCCTCTTCCTACTTTTGGGTCATCTACGGGGACGCATGCATATGGCCTTAGCGGTCGTGATCGCTCAATCCACTTTATCTCCTAAAAATCAGCGAACCTACTCAAACGCATTATAAGGGTACCAGGTCACATCGAATACAGTGCAACCAGACCTATCATCACTTGTGATATTAAACATAGTCTATGAGCAGAGGAACCATCTTACTGAGTTGTCAAGATCAATGTAATCCACGCAAGAGGAGCACCGGTTATCCATTTCCTTGTCATGACGCCGTTTAGCCCCCTGAATAAAACATTGACCGGCATATCGCATATCTGCTTGCTTCTGAATCCCATGTCGTTCAGGCAGAATAGATTGATCCATAGGCAGTTGACTCCAAACATGATCACGCTACATTTTCTCCCATTTCATCGCCATTTGGGAATAATAACGAGGCTTTGCTTGCATATATATATATATATATATATATATATATATATTTGCAAAAGTCTGCTAACAGACATAATGCCATCAGAAACCATGGGATTCAAACGAAGGTACAGAAACAGTAAAATAAAACACAACACAACAATGTCCATGGTTTCCTCAGAGGGCGAGATACTACCCGGTTGCCCAAGCCGAAGTAGGGTGTTGATTTAGGGGACACCACCCCGAGCCTTTGGCTGAATAGCCTGCCCGAAAGGCAGCGGAGCGAATTCAGGGGATCGCGCCCATTGGGAGCCGGTGACTGATTGCTCAGTTCATACGCCTTTTGTTTGTTCCTTTGTCAAACAGGGGCCCAATGCTCCCCCGAAGTACAGCATAAGGTTGCTGGAATACAATGCTTCGCCAGGACGAAGCAAGCGGCAGTGACTTTATTTAGTGGCGAGTCACGTCCGCCACGTCACAGTGTTGTTAAACGGACATATGTGGCTTTTTATAGGGGGAACGCTTGCCAGGCGAAAACCCACCACGTCCTGGAACACTGCCGCCGAACCATTTGCTGGAACGGGAAAATCCCGAACCACCCAGCTGGCACTACGAGGAGGTTGTTCGGCAAGCCATGTGTGGCTGAAGAAGACCACCTTTTTCAGCTAAAGCGAGTCAGTCATGGTACTAACTTCACGATCAGCAACAAGATAGTTCGCGTCAAATGCATGAGTACAGTTTAGCATCAATGGGAGCCACATTATTACTCTTCGTTCTTGCTTTTGCCACTGCTGCGGAGCGGTAATCTTGGTGATAGGAGAGCGATCAGTTATACTGTGCACAAGGTGATGGGATTGCGCCATCACCTACTGACGCGTTCAATATAAACGATCACCGTGTTTCAATCGGTGTTCTTAAATGGAATAGCATTCTTATGATTTTTTGGACGTTCATTTCTCCTATACTTGGTCGCTTCTGTGTCTACGGCTTGTTGTCAGGCTTCTTCTCAGAGACAAGGATAGTTAACCAACCTGGATCGGCGATTGGGTTCAAATTGCTGGTAGTTGTTGGTCCGCTTCGCTTCATATAATGGAGTCCACGTGACCTAACATGTTTGTCTGGAGCCATTACAGATCGTCAGTCGCAACCAGTTACGGTGACGCTCGTCTCCTCGAAGGACCACATCTTCAGGGTGCAGTTATCTATGAGCTAGAATTGATTTTGACACCGATGTCGTTTAGTTTTCAAGCGATCAACATTTGTTTGTGATCGTTCTGTATTGGCCTGGCGTAAATGCCTTACTCCTCAGTGGTTACATAACACCGTCCGCTCCTTTATCATTCTTTTTCCGTATTACTTATCGCCAATTTCATCCAGTCACCGTATCACCGCGAAGCGCCAGCACAAAGCACTGACGTTTTTTTAATGAAACAAACCTTCACCATTCTTATCTGCACTGAAGGATAGCTTTCGTGTGTCATACTACTTGCTAGTCACTTGTCTCTCTGAGCACCACTTATCCACTAATTTCACCTAACTCAACCAATCAATTGACTCCTGCTTGCTGAAACCGCTGGCTATAGGCCATCTACTCTCTCGTATCTTCAAACACTTTCTTGTTGCTCTGGCCGTCGCATAGGATGATTAACGGTTTTCTAACCGCTGCGTCAAGCAGGGTGGATAGGGATTTGAATATTACTGCTCAAGCCTTCCCGTTTTCTTATTCTCCCTGTACACTTTTTCACTGGTTCACTTTTATACCCCCTGTTTTCGATCCACAATCCTTGGCCCTCCCCACTTTACATTGTTAGCCGTTTATCTTTTATGCAAACGCGGAGCGCTACTCCTGTCGTGTCGGCAAACGAAGTCCATTTTATCTGCTTATATTTGGAGCCCTCGATTTTTATTCAGATTGGCGTACCTCAACATACGCACCTTGTTGCAGATCGGTCAACAGGCGGCACTTACCTGAACATTAGAGGCTCTCCCGGTCGATATCTGCTGTCCATCGGAAACTCGGTTGCATGACTCGAGCTGTGTGCTCGCTTTGCCATTCCCTTCAGTGCTTTCTCGTTGCTCCTATCCGTAGACGATGCAGCTTCGAATGCCGGCCAAGCCGGTGTTGGTATTGCCTTGTGTCCACGGCTTGAAGCTGGTCTGGTTGCTTGGGTCCCAATCAGTAGCCGGATATGTGCCGTCCGATTAGCTGGCTCGTCCAAAGTTTCGAAATCGTGCGGGGCTAATAGGTGTCTGATTACCATCGTTGTCGACGCCCCCACAACCTGCAGGGATGACACGATAAACGACCCTTAGTTCGAAGTTGACGTCCGCTGGATCCTCTGAGCTTCCTGGTGTGAATCCGAAAGACGATGAACACGTTTGGCGGGATACACTTTTGACTTGGGTCGGAACCGACCTCAGTGGCGTTGTGTGTCTTTATCTTTCACTCTGTCGATTATCCTCCCGCTCTAACCATGATCTTATTTCTCAAGCATATAATGACTTTAGTTAAAGCACAATAGCCTCTATGGTAGCTCATCAGAAGCGTGTTCATCCGTTACTGGTGGCTCAGTTGGCATGCCTCTATTGCGGCGTGTTTTCTTTTGTATTGCGTCACAATAGCTGAGGTATTTTCCACCTCTAGCTAACGTGTACTTTGATGATGATAATGATTGTGGTCGTGTATGTCTTCATGATCAGTTATTTGAAGAGTTACCTATGAAATTCGTGAATTCCTTGCTTACTAGCTATCGTTGTGTATGAAGTGGTAGACGCAGATTATCTGCTCAGCACGCTATTGGTCACTGATTCACGTCAAAATCACCGTTTCACTAACTACGAAATAAAGAGAGTGTTAGTCGAGTTCTCCACGTACTCGCATCGAATCTAACTCTATCTTACAGCAGCAACTAGGTTTTCAGTATCCGTTGGTTGGAGCCACGGAGACTGTCGGTGGGAGTCATTCACAAGCAGCCTGCTGCCACGGGATGGCGCGGCGACGTCTACGAAACTCATTCTTTTCAGCCCTCTACCTTGCTTGTATTAAATTTGCCACTACCACATGTATACCATCTCACCAGAAATCAGTTGCACCATTGTCTCGTTTAGAAGATACGCTCAAAGTTTGGATCAATATTCCGTTTTGGATGGGAAGATGTGATATGACAACACCCACATTATTGATCACTGCTTCCAGCTCAATCTTCTACTTACGCATGACCCAGTTATGTGTTCACTTTAAGCGGAAAATGATGTGAAACTGGATATGCGACTTTAAACCGCTTGTTCTTTCTGATATCTTGATCCCAGATCTAAGCTAATCGCCATGACGTTGACTAGGGTTCTTGCACCGAAACGACGGATGTTCAGCAACCCGCCATCAATGCGGTGCTCTACACGGACACCGTAAGCACAAGCAGCATCGAAAGCGCAAGAATCATTGCCTGAAGATAAATAGTAAACAGGCAGGAGCCAAGACACAGTCTTGTTTCATACCAGAGACCACTGCAAGTTCATTCGAGGTCTGTCCACTCAGCTGCATCATCGCCCGTATGCCACTGTGCAGGCATTCAGTTAAATTAACAAATTTACTCAGCCAGCCAAACTTACCCAACACAGCCACAGTGTCTCGCGGTTCGCCTTATCAAATGCCTTGGTGAAATCAGCAAAAAGCGAGTACAAAGACTATGGTCGTTTTCCACACTTCTCCTGCAACTGACGATCCGCAAACACCATATCGATGGTGCTGCAACCCGAACGGAATCCACATTGCTTTTCCACCACTTTCGGTTCCGCAACCTGATTGACGATGCGGTTGAGCAAGATTCGGGCAATCATCTTGCCCACAGAACTCAGCAAGTTGATGCCACGATAATTCGTGCAACATTGCTTGCTACCTTTGCCCTTGTACAGTGGTAGCACAAGGGCATCCTTCAGCTCAGGAGGCACCTCCTCCTCAAACCACACGCGCTGTACCAAGCGGTGCAGCGCAGTCACCAAGGTGCGTTCTCAGTATTTCCATACTTCAGGTGGTATCCCGTTGGTACCGGCACATTTATCGTTTCGCAGCTGAGCAAGTGCTCTCTGCGTGTCATCCATTGTCAGCATGTCCGCCAGACTCGGCTTCACCTCGTACTGCTTCAGGCCGTTCAAAGCAGGCCAGTGGATCTCTGAACGGTTGTTCAAGAGACAGTCAAAGTGTTTCCGCCAGACCTGCATTATGTCTGCAGTCTGGGTACAGGCAGCGCCTGAACTACCATCGATTAGCGTCCTCAGCGGCTCCAACTTTGGTCCATACACCGCCTTCAAGGAGTCAAAGAATTCCTTGTGTTGACGGCGTTCGGCGTAGCATTCCATCTGCTTCGCCTTCTCCGTTCACCATGCATTTTTAATGCGACGAAGCTCTCGGATCACTCGTCGTCTAATTCTGCTCAACTTAATCTTCGTCCCCTAGTCACTGGGGTCTGCCACATGTGCAGCAGTTTCTGCATTCTTCTCTGACACCAATGCGCCAACCGTCGCATTGTTCTCATCAAACCAATGAGGCCGCTAACCGTTTGCGCGCCCGGTACTCTCCTCGATAGCAGCTATCATCTGATCGCGAATGTGGTGCCAAAGGTCGCCCACTGTGGCTATGCAGTCCACATCACACAGGCGTACAGCCATCGCTTTCTCCAGGTCAATACGTTACTTCACAGTACCGAGGAAGAGAATGTTAAATTTCCGCTGATGCACGGCGGGAGTGCAATACATATATTTACGAAAATATATGTACAGTTTGGTCCGAACCAATTTGTGATCAGTGCCACACTCAGCTCCACGCAGTACACGTGTCATGCGCACTTCAAGCATATCACGCTGACACGATGACATAGTCTTGCGGGCGAACGTGACCACACCTTGGGTGCGTCCAAGTTGCCATATCACTCGCACTCAATGCAAACCGAGTATTCGTGATCGTCAGGCCGTGGGTGGCACACAGTAAGAGCAGTCTGTCACCGTTCGCATTCGCTGAACCAATGCCATGCGGACCGATAACATCTGTCCACACCGATGCATCACACCTTACGCGCGCGTGAAATCATCCAGCAGAAATATTCGGTTGCTCCTCGGCACAGACCGTATCACGGAGGATAGCTGAGCGTAGAATTGATCACGCGTGTCATCACTATAACAAACGGTCGGACCGTACGTGCTTATATAAGTGGTAAACTTACCTCTTCCGAGTCGTAGGCGAACAGTCCTCAGTCGCACGTTGGTGCCTGTTGGTGTATGAATATATATATATATATATATAT